CTGCCTCAGCCTCCTGAGTAGCTGGGACTACGGGTGGGCGCCACCACGACCAGCTAATTTTCGTATTTTTAGTAGAGATGGGGTTTCAGCATGTTGGTCAAGCTGGTTTCGAACTCCTGACCTCGTGATCCGCCCACTTCGGCCTCCCAAAGTGTTGGGATTACAGGCATCAGCCACTGCACCCCAGCTGAGAAGAGAGTCTTAAGACCCAAAGCTGGGGCCCTGTCTCTTCCACAGGGAGCACAGATGGAGGGGGTGGGGGAGGTCCCAACAGGGGCTGAGGCAGTGGTTCTCTGCAGTCCCTGGCCCACATCTGGAAGGCCCGCCACACCCTGTTGGAGCCAGAGGTGCGATACTACCTGAGGCAGATCCTTTCAGGCCTTAAGTACTTGCACCAGCGAGGCATCTTGCACCGGGACCTCAAGTTGGGTGAGACTCCTGAGCCCTGAGGATGGGAGGTTGGGGAGGGAAGGAGGAAGGAAGAATCTGACACACCTCTCTTTCCCCATCCAGGAAATTTTTTCATCACTGAGAACATGGAATTGAAGGTGGGGGATTTTGGACTGGCAGCCCGGTTGGAGCCCCCAGAGCAGAGGAAGAAGTGAGTTTTGAGGAAAGGAGTCTGTGTGTGACATATGTGACAGACAGTGCATATGTATGTAGGAGGCCAGATGACTGTCTGATGTTTGCATGAGATAAATGGGAAGGGATGATGGGCTGTTTATGCGTGTGTGAAGGTGGAGGTGGCAGCCTGTGTTACTGGGATTGGTGGAGAGAGGGAGGATCCTATAGATGTGTGACACAGATAGGGTAGGTAACCCTGAATCCCTGAGACAGATGGGGATATACAGATTCTTGGAGGCACATGACTTACCCTGTGTGTGGATGGGGGACGGTGACAGGCAGCATGTGGTGTATGAGACAGACTGAGAGTGGGAATGGTGGGACATGACACTGGGTGTAAGAAGACCCTGCTGTGGCCATCTCCCTGCATGTGTTGGACACAGATAGCATGTGTGGCAGATGAGTGTTTATGGGGGTTGTGACAGCTGGTGTTGGCGTGTGTGTGGCACAGACCATGGGAGGTGACAGCCTGATGCCTGTCTGACAGACAGGAGTGCAGGAAGGGAGAAGGGATCAGCTGTGGACTCTCTGTGTTGACCCAGGAGGAGGGGACAGGGCTGGGGGTCAGGCCCTCTCCCTGTCATGAAGAGCAGCTGAGCAGCTGGGCCAGGCGGGTAGGCAGGGACTCAGCTGCCATCCCTGGCATCCATTGTCCCAGGACAAGCAGGAGCTCTCTGGCCTTTGGTGACAGGCAGCTGCTTTGTCTGGACTCGCAGTGGGGGAAGGGGTGGGGGGCTGCTGGGCTACGTCTCAGCCTTCTCTCCTCCTCCTCACCCTCTTTCAGGACCATCTGTGGCACCCCCAACTATGTGGCTCCAGAAGTGCTACTGAGACAGGGCCACGGCCCTGAGGCAGATGTGTGGTCACTGGGCTGTGTCATGTGAGTCTCAGGGACCAGGGTCAGCAGCAGATAGGTGGTGGGTGTGTGGGTGGGGCATCCCCTCCACTTGACTCCTGACCCCTTGGCTCTGCCCTACAGGTACACGCTGCTCTGTGGGACCCCTCCCTTTGAGACAGCAGACCTGAAGGAGACATATCGCTGCATCAAGCAGGTTCACTACACGCTGCCTGCCAGCCTCTCACTGCCTGCCCGGCAGCTTCTGGCTGCCATCCTTCGGGCTTCACCCCGAGACCGCCCCTCTATTGACCAGATCCTGCGCCATGACTTCTTTGCCAAGGTCTGTGGCTCCCCAGACCTCTAAGTCCAGTCTGTGTATTCCCAGCGATTGAAAAGGGGCAGGTGACAGGACCCCTGGAGCCTCTATTCTCTGTTCACATGGCTCCCCTCCTTAGGGCTACACCCCTGATCGACTCCCTATCAGCAGCTGTGTGACAGTCCCAGACCTGACACCCCCCAACCCGGCTAGGAGTCTGTTTGCCAAAGTTACCAAGAGCCTCTTTGGCAGAAAGAAGAAGAAGAGTGAGTCTTGGGTGTCACTGGGTTGAGGGGGTAGAGCAGGAGAGCAGCTTGTCACATTTGTCTTGGGCATGTGAATGTGGGTATCTGGGGACTCAGGGGGAGAGTGTGTGCAGTACAGGTCCTTGGGGAGGTCAATCTCTGTGTCACCCCTGTGGGAAGTGGAGGGGCTGGGTCAGATACTGAGGACAGTATCACCCTTCATCCCCAGGTAAGAATCATGCCGAGGAGAGGGATGAGGTCTCCTGTTTGGTGAGCGGTCTCATGCGCACGTCCATTGGCCATCAGGATGCCAGGCCAGAGGTGAGGCACTCACGTGGACACTGTTCCCCTGACTCACCCCTACCCTAGCAGCTGAGGGAAGCCGGGGATAAAAGAGGCTGCTGAAGCATCCAGCCTCGTGGTGGCCTAATTGGCTGTGTGTCACTAGCCTGATGGGGCTCTGACCTGGAGTGCCCTGGGAGCCAGGGCAGGGCTGGGCCATGGACTCAGGGGTTTGGATTTTGGGGCCTGTCTCACTCCCTTTCCCTGCCCAACCCTCCAGGCTCCAGCAGCTTCTGGCCCAGCCCCTGTCAGCCTGGTAGAGACAGCACCTGAAGACAGCTCACCCTGTGAGACACTGGCAAGCAGTGGAGATGGTAAGGAGCCAGGGAGGATGAGAGGTTGCTAGAGCTGAGATCAGGGACCAGTGGGAAGGATTGAGCAGAGGGGCCTGGCCTGGGTCCTGGGGGGCTGATGCCTAAGTCTCAGTGCCCTGTCTCCTTCAGGAGTTGAAGAAGGTCTGACTGTGGCCACAGTGGTGGAGTCAGCCCTCTGTGCGCTGAGAAACTGTGTGGCCTTCATGCCCCCAGGTAAGGTTGGGGTCTGGTACGTCCTGCTGTGGAGGGAGTTCTGTGCCTGGGAGGCCAGGAGCAGATCCTCACTCTCTCCTCTCCCATGACAGCGGAACATAACCCGGCCCCCCTGGCCCAGCCAGAGCCTCTGGTGTGGGTCAGCAAGTGGGTTGACTACTCCAACAAGTTTGGCTTTGGGTATCAACTGTCCAGCCGCCGTGTGGCTGTGCTCTTCAATGATGGCACACATATGGCCCTGTCAGCCAATAGAAAGTAAGTGCTGTTACAGGGTGTCTTGTATTCAGGCCACTAACCCAGCAGGGCTGCACCTGGGTGTGTGCTCCTGGGCTCAGGGGTCTAGGGTTTCTCAGGGGAGGGACATTGGTGCAGGGCACCCTCTGACCTCTGCCTCCCCATTCCAGGACTGTGCACTACAACCCCACCAGCACAAAGCACTTCTCCTTCTCCGTGGGTGCTGTGCCCCGGGCCCTGCAGCCTCAGCTGGGTATCCTGCAGTACTTCACCTCCTACATGGAGCAGCACCTCATGAAGGTGTGAGGGCTGGAGCTGTGGCACACTGAAAACCAACACATCCTGATCCCTTCTGATCCCTCCTTGGTGGTGGGGGGTGGTGCTCAAAGCTAGAGGATAAGGCATACATTAATGGTGAGGGGACTGTCTCCTGCTCGATCAGTGACCTGCCCCGATCCCGCTCCCAGGGTGGAGATCTGCCCAGTGTGGAAGAGGTAGAGGTACCTGCCCCGCCCTTGCTGCTGCAGTGGGTCAAGACGGATCAGGCTCTCCTCATGCTGTTTAGTGATGGCACTGTCCAGGTAAAGGACTATCCAGGAGTTGCCGGGAAGGTCTGGGAGGCCCAGGGTGCTGGGGAGGAGCTGGGCCGGGAGCCTAGGCCCTGACCACTGTCATCCTCCTGTGTGCAGGTGAACTTCTACGGGGACCACACCAAGCTGATTCTCAGTGGCTGGGAGCCCCTCCTTGTGACTTTTGTGGCCCGAAATCGTAGTGCTTGTACTTACCTCGCTTCCCACCTTCGGCAGCTGGGCTGCTCCCCAGACCTGCGGCAGCGACTCCGATATGCTCTGCGCCTGCTCCGGGACCGCAGCCCAGCGTAGGACCCAAGCCCTGAGGCCTGAGGCCTGTGCCTGGAAGGCTCTGGCCCTTGCCTTTGTGGCCCTTCCCTTTCCTTTGGTGCCTCACTGGGGGCTTTGGGCTGAATCCCCCAGGGAATCAGGGACCAGCTTTACTGGAGTTGGGGGCAGCTTGTCTTCGCTGGCTCCTACCCCTTCTCCAAGATAAGCCTGAGCCTTAGCTCCCAGCTAGGGGGCATTATTTATGGACCAGTTTTATTTATTGTCAGACACTTATTTATTGGGATGTGAGCCCCAGGAGGGCCTCCTCCTAGGATAATAAACCATTTTGCAGAATTGGAGTCTTCCTCACTCGCAGTAGAGCCCGTGAACTGTGGCAACCGCGAAGAGCGAGGCATTGGTGTAGGAGGCCGAGGCCAGCCCGTCGCGTGCCTCGTCCCAGAGTGCGCGGCTAACTACAAGCATGCCCTGCCCCGCACGTGGTCCCAGCACCACGCTGCACACCAGCTTGTAGCGTGGGGGGCTGAGCTCGCGCAGGCGCACGCGCACCTGCTCGCAGAGCTCCTGCGCCAGACGCCCGGCCTCGGTGCCCGAGTAGCACACATCGCACAGCCCTGCAGCCAACGCCGCCTCCAGAGCATGCTGTGCGCGCGTGGCTTCCCAGCGCTCACCCGACACCGGCTCCGTGCGGTAGGAGGGCGCCACCCGATGGGCGGGTGCCAGGGGCAACCCCGAGAAGCTGACCTGTGAGCCCAGAGGGGGCACGGGGCCCAGGGATGGCCGCTGACCCCCAGGACCCACGCCTGGCCCGGCCAGGGAGTTCCGGCGGGAGAAGGACGCAACCAGGCCCAGCATAGAACCCCGGCGTGAGGCCGGTCCCGGACCTGGACCTGCTGGTCGAGCCTCATCAATGCTGGGCAGGCGGCCTCGGGGCCACACCAGTGAGAGTTTCGGCCCGGAGTCTTTGGCATTCTCCTCCTCCTGGCATCCAGGAGGCAGTGGCCTGCTGGCCATGGACCTGCTGGTTGGAGGACCCACACTCAGGGCAGCCTTCACGGGGCATCTGTCTACCCACCCCAGCTTCTTGCTCAGTGATGTGAAGAGTTTTTACCTTCTTCCCCTTTCTTACCTGTTTTGGAACAAGTGGATCAAATAGTCCCAGGCTGCCTGGGTTCCTACCTGCAGAGAAGGTTAAAGGCTGTTAGACACACAGGCTGCTGGGACTGGGATCCTCAGCTAGTCCCTGCCCGCTGAGCTCCTTCCCTGGGCACTGTGGAGGTTAGCCAGGTGCGCTCAGTCTTAGAGACTGCCTTTTCTCCCTTCCACTAGACTTCTCTAAAAGGGGCGGTGGACCTCTGTCTCAGCCTGGACTGTGGAGGTGATGGTCCTCCAACCCCTATCCAGGAAGGACAAACAGATCCAGCTCCTTCAGCCCCAGCCCTGGGGGTGTTGAATCCAGTCCTCTTGCACTAGATCTACTCTAGAGTGGCTGGCACAAAGATTCCCCCACACCTGGCTGTGGCTGAGGGCAGATGACTTGTGAAGCCCCCTTCCACCTTCTGCCTCTGGCCTCTGATCCCACTTCCTCCAGAATCAGTTCTGGGATGGCTGCCCTCTGCTCCTGAAACTCCCTCAGGCACCTGAGTCACCTGCAGCTTTGATTTCCGAGTTCTCTCCTGACTCCACAGCTCTGGCTGTGGGGGCCTGAAAGGCAAGTGGGAGGGGAAGGACCTGTGTTGTGGAGTTGCCATGGGGTTGCTGGGGCAAACACTCCTCCCTTCCGGGATCCCTCCCTCCAGTCCAGCTCTGGCTTAACCTGAGAGCATTGTTACTGTGAGCATATGCTGAGTGTGGGGTGCCCCGGTGTCATCAGGAAGAGCGGCCGACAGGGTCTTACAGCTCAGGCAAACTCCCTAAGTGTGGACAACAGGGATAGATGTAGAGCCAGGCTGTGGTCAAAAAGGCCTCATCCTACCCCGGGGCTCTTCAGCCAGGGCTCATTTTCCCCCCTTGTGGAATGGGCGGATGACTGGCCATTTGTGAACAAGTCACGGAGACCTAGGATATGGGGGAGACCTTGAGGCTGCGTGGGCGGTGGCTCAGGAATCCAGGGTCTGGGCCCACAGGAAGGAACACGTCATGGATCTGTCTCCCCATCAGCTTCAACAAGGACAAACATTTCCGCTGCCTGCCCGGAGTTAGGGTGGGGCTTGGATGACTTCCTCAGTTCAGAGTTATGTGTGGGGGAGGGGAGGCCCATTGGCTCAGCTGGTAGGAACCAGGCCTTAAAAAGTGGCAGTGACTCGGCAGTGAACCCCGAGTCCAGCCTCGTGACCCTTGCTGACCCAAGTGTCCTGGGGCTTGTCCCTAGCTGGCTACACCTCGTGTGGCCTAGTACATAGATTTCCCGGATGAGGCATTTCTGCGATGGCAGAGGCTCTGACACCTCTGCCAGAGCTGACAACTCATGTGACTCCCCTCGGGCAGGGACGGAACTGTCCCCTCCCAAACAAGCCAGGTCTGGGTCCTGGAAACCCATCTATGGGGGCGAGGATTTTCCCTGTTGAGTGGGGTTTCCCAGGGCCTGGCTAACAGGATCCTGACCCTGTGTGCCTGTGGAGGAGGGAAGGGTTAGGAGGGCAGGGAGTTTGAACTCTGAACCTAGGGCAGGCTGGGGTTCAGGGGTTAAGACCCTTGGACTGTGCTTAAGTGCCCCTCTAAGGGCTGATGTTTTCCATGGGCTTGCCCAGGAGATGGGTGGAGTCTATTCTCAGGCCGGCTCCAGTTTCCATGGAAACCTACAGGCTTCCCACCCCAGCTGCCTGGGTAGACTCCCAGCCAGGGCCTCTTTCGCCGCCAGCCAGCCAGCCAGCCAGCCAGCCAGCCAGCCAGCCTCTTCCCAGGACCACAGGCCGCTCTAGCCTTGGCTTCTCCTGGCCCCTCCCTGTGTCTGTTCCTGTCCCAGAGCCTCTGGCCCCTGATGCTTTCAGGAGCCTGGGCCTCTCCTGCTCCACTCCTAAACTTCAGCTTCTCAGCAAACAGGCCTCCCAAGTCCCTGCTTCTCCCTCTCGGGCCTTGCTACTCTCACCAACTCTAGGGCCTGGTCAGACTTCCCAGGCCCCCTCCTCCACCCCTAACCCTTCTCACCCATGGATCCCCCGGGACTGGTCGTGCATGGGAAAGCTGAACCCTTTTCCGCAGCACTCGGAAGCCTGGTCAACAGCCCTCGATACAGGTGAGGGGTGGGCTCTGCCTGCAGGTTTTTCTTAGATGGCTCTGCCGGCCCCAAGCCTGAGGCAGCCCTGGTGAGAAGAGGCTGGGAATAAGAACTTGGCCCTCTTCCCTGATTAACTCAAGCTGTGTGACGGTCACATGTGGAACTTGGCTACTGGTCACTCAGTATCTGTGAGACCCTGAGAGCTGGAGAGAGACAGGGCTGGTGGGAGTCCTTGGGGATAGATCTGGGAGCTGCTATGTGAGCTTAGGCAAAGCCCTTCCTTCTTTGGACGTTGGGCCCCTGGCAGAAGAGAATGATTCTCAGCCCCTGGGATCCTGAGAAATGGTGGGTCATGATTCCCCTCCTCCTTCCACTCACTCAGCTTGGTATTGAGGCCTCTCTGCTTGAAGAAGAGGAACAGATGACCCTGTTCTGGGAACTGAGGCTTCACAGAAGAACAAAGCTTGAGGGATTGAGCCATATCCCTGACAGGAAGCCTGGGGGTGCTGGCTGCTCCCTGCTGGCTAGGATGCCAGTAGTGTCTGAAACCAGGGATAGAGGTTACAGGAGGCAGGGCTGCTGAGGAGAGCTAGAATAAAGCTCTCTGTCTTCATGCTCTCACATCTGGGCTCTTTCCCAAAGGGTGGTGACTTCCATCACCCTGCTTCTTTGGGGGTCACAGTCTGGTCTGGATAATGTGAACACTCCAGGCTTTGGACCTGGGACTAAGAGGCTCCAGGAGGCTCCAACCTCATCTGCCTCCTATCACCTGCCTTGTTCAGAGGTCCAGAGCTGGGGCCGGAAGTGATCATGAAGATGGAAACTGTGGTCTGGCTCATGATGGTGCATCACTGCTGTCTGTTTGCAGTCAGTGTGCACTTTGCACCCTACACTCCCACACCCTCCTGTCTGGAGGAGGGCTGAAAAAAGCTGAGTTTGCAGCTGGTGGAGGAGGAGCCAAAAGAAGCTTCCCTTACCCCAAGACTCAGGCTGGGGAGGAGAGGGGAAGGTGGGATCAACCTTGTTATATTAGCCCAGATGCCCCTCAGTGATCAAGCAGGGTCACCTCCTCCGAGACCAGAGGTTTAGGATTATTGTCCCGTTTCGTGGGTGAGAAACCTGAGATTCAAAGACAGGAAGTCACTTGCCTACAGTACTATCGGGTAGAGCTGGGACTAGAACTCAGGCCTGTGGGCCCCAGACCTTCTGCTGGAGGGACTAAGCCCTGTCTCTTACATTCTGGATAGGAAACTAAGACCCAGAGTGGGCAAAGGCACAGCCCAGGTTGCACTCTAGACTATGGCCTCCTCTCCGCTGGCTCTCTGCCTCTCTCCCACAGTGATGTTCGCTTCGTGGTCGGTCAAGAACAGCAGGAGATATTTGCCCATCGGTGCTTGTTGGCCTGTAGATGCAACTTCTTCCAGCGACTTCTGGGCACAGAGTCAGGCCCCGGGGTGCCTAGTACTGTGGTACTAAGCACTGTACCAACTGAGGCCTTCCTGGCAGTGCTGGAGTTCCTATATACCAACAGTGTCAAGCTGCACCGCCACTCTGTGAGCCCACTGAGCAAAGGCCTGGGTGGGAGAGGTGGGGGGGTGGCAGAGGCAGGAGTTTGCCCATTAAACTGTGGGCCTAGGGCAGGGGAAAATCCCTTCCACTCCCCCAACCACCCACTCTACAGGTGCTGGAAGTGCTGACGGCGGCTGTGGAGTATGGGCTGGAGGAACTGAGAGAGGTGGGTTTTTGTGCTAGGTCCCTGTCTCATTTCCCTTGCCTCTCATGGGCTTACTTCCCACCCTGTTTCACACACACTCTGGCCTGGAGAGGAATGTGTGCCCACACAGAGAGAAGTATGTGTATCTCTCCGTGTTAGAGGGCATGAATCTGTGCCTGTGTGCAAAAGGATCCCTGCATGCTTGCCCCGTGTGTGCTGTGGGGGTAGGGGGGTGTTTATGGCTGGTGCTATAAATACAAGGATGTCAGCCTTGATCTCTGTTCTCCAGAGAGAGAGGGGAGACAGACACTGAAAACACTTATCTGGGTGGCATAAGAAGTGTGATAGAGGCCAGGTGCGGTGGCTCACGCCTGTAATCCCAGCACTTTGGGAGGCTGAAGCAGGTGGATCTCTTGAGCCCAGTAGTTCCAGACCAGCCTGGGCAACATGGTGATACGCTGTCCCTACTAAAAACACAAAAATTAGGCCAGGCGCGGTGGCTCATGCCTGTAATCCCAGCACTTTGGGAGGATGAGGCAGGCAGATCATGAGGTCAGGAGTTTGAGACCACCTTGGCCAAAATAGTGAAACCCCATCTCTACTAAAAATACAAAAATTAGCCGGGCGTGTTGGCGGGTGGCTGAAATCCCAGCTACTTGGGAGGCTGAGGCAGGAGAATCACTTGAACCTGGGAGGCAGAGGCTGTAGTCAGCTGAGATCGCGCCATTGCAACACTGTGAGACTCCATCTCGAAAAATAATAAATAAATAAATAAAATTAGCCAGGCTTGCTAGTACACCCCTGTAATCCCAGCTACTTGGGAGGCTGAGGCATGAACATCACTTGAACCTGGGAGGCGGAGGTTGCATGAGGGTGGGGCGCCCCTCCAGTCCTGCCACTAGGGAGAGGAGGAGAAGACTTCCTGGAGGAGGAAACGTTTGTATTGGATCTGGTAGAACAAATAGGATTTTGTTCCTAGGGGAAGTAGGAAGATGGCATTCTAGTCACAAAGGCAGAAAAGGGGCTAGTGAGATATTTGGTGTGTCTGGACTGTGAGGAGAGAGCAAGATGAGACTGCAGAGGACACCAGGGCCTGGTCATGTAGGGCCCTCCAGCATTTGGACTTCTTTTAAGCAGAAGGCAGTGGAGATTCACTGAAGGTTTCCGGTAAGGGAGTGAGGAATTGGAAGCTCAGGGGAGAAGGGATTGAAAGAGGTGGGGAGGACTCACCAGTCAGTCAGGAGGTGAGTGCAGCAGTCAAGAGATGAGAAAGATGTCACGGATGAAATTCAAGTTTCTGCTAAAAATAGAAGTATGCTTGAGTCAGGAGGAAGCTAAGCATCCTGAAAGAAGGGGAGAATTTTGCATGGCCCTTATCTGGTCTTGATTAGTGGCGAATGTGCTAGAAGGTGGGTGGCTGGGATTGGTTTTGCTAGTCTCCAGTTCCAGTGAGCTAGCTGTCTCAGGCTCCCGCGATTCCCTGCCTCCTCTGGCCTGGGAGGTCAGGATGCATCTGGGGCTGCTAGGTGACTCACCATTCCAAGCCTGCTTATTGCTTCTGGGGTAGAGTTAGTGTCTTGGAGCAGGGACACCGCCATACAACCCACATTCATTTCTGTTCCCAGCTGTGCCTGCGGTTTGTGGTGAAGGTGCTGGATGTGGAGTTGGTTTGTGAAGCCCTGCAGGTGGGTGCTGCTGGACAGGCATGGAGGAGTCTGGTTCTGTGTGTGGGAATGGGCCCCCAGGTGCTGGGAGCCTGGGCCTACTGTGTCTGGCCTGGAATAACTTGGGTACATTGTGTGTGTGCGGGGGTGCTCCAATGATGTTTATATGATGAATTCTATGCCAAGACCTGTGGGGTCCTGGGTCTATCAGCTGAGTCATGTGCAGGAGCAGATGTTGAAGGGGCTGGAGGTCTTTGCTGGTCTTCTAGCTAGGGCTGGGGAATGGTTCTCAGCTGGACTTGGGGTAGGGGGATGGGTGGCTGTAGACTTTAGAAGCCAAGCCTAAGCCCCAGCTGGGGTTTGAAAGCTGTGGTGTGGTCTCCTGTAGGGAAGGGCAGGTTGTAGAGTGAGTCTACCTGTGTATATATGTGTGTACCAAGGCTTTCACTGGGTCTACTTTCCTGGAGGGCCGAGGGCCCTATCCGCCTCCCCAGCTAGGACTAGGGTCAGGCTTGCAGTGGTGGGTCCCAGTGAGCAGAGCTGGACGATGCGGCCACTGCAGTCTCCAACCTGACCTCCCTCATTCTGCTCGCAGGTGGCTGTAACCTTTGGCCTGGGGCCGCTGCAGGAGCATTGCGTGGCTTTCATAGAGGCCCACAGCCAGGTACTGCTCCTTTCATACTCTTAACCCCACGCAATGCATTCTGCTCCTCCCTGACCCATTTGCCCGTCGCAGGAGGCCCTCCGGACCCAAGGCTTCCTGGAGCTGTCGGCGGCCGCGCTGCTGCCCCTGCTACGCAGCGACAAGCTCTGCGTGGACGAGGCTGAATTGGTCCGCGCGGCCCGGAGCTGGGCGCGCGTGGGCGCAGTGAGTGGGGCTGGGGGAGCGCAAGGGCGTGGAAGGAGGTGCGGGCCACAAGCCTGGCGAGCGGGTGGCAGGGCAGGTGCCCGACTCAGGGCTGGCGTTCGCAGGCGGTGCTGGAGCGGCCGGTGGCCGAGGTGGCGGCCCCGGTGGTGAAAGAGCTGAGACTAGCCTTGCTGGCCCCGGTGGAGCTGAGCGCCCTCGAAGAGCAGAACCGGCAGGAGCCACTCATCCCGGTGCGGACGCGGGGAACCGGCCCAGCTCCACTCAGCAGCGGGGGTACAGGGCGCTGGGAGGGGTGGGTGCGGCCCAGTCCACAGTCCTCGGGGCGAGGGGCCACCGCGGGACTGAGCGCTGACTGGCCTTGCTCTGCAGGTGGAGCAGATCGTGGAGGCGTGGAAGTGCCACGCCCTGCGGAGAGGTGATGAGGCCCGGGGCACCCCATGTCGCCGCCGGAAAGGCACCCTGCCCCGGGAGCATCACCGCTTTCTGGACCTGGCCTTCAAATGACCCAATGTCGGGACTCGCGGGGGAAGCCCTGGGCCAGCCCAGCTGAGCCTGCCCCAAACTACAACTCCCGACGTGCTCGGCGTTCGGATCTCGCTTCCGTTCCCAGCGTGCTTAGAGGGCTGGGCGCCGGAAAAACCGTTGTCTGCCACGCGTAGACCTTCGTGCCTGGTCGAGCCGGTGTGGGGAGGTGGGGCCGGGCAGGACTTGGGCTGACACTCTACGGTGGCGACACTCGAAAACGAGGATTTCTTTCGCTCCACGCCCTCACTCTACGCCCTGTCTCTGGGCATTGTCGCCCAGCAATCTATTCTGATGACTCACATTATCTGTTCAGCCCAACTCCCTCTTTCATTCCAGACCTGCCTCCTGGAGATTGCTACCTGAATGTCCCTTAGACACCAAAGGCTCCGTGCGAAATCGGTCTCCCCAGCTTTCCCCAGCTCTGCCCCCATCGTGTTTTTCGTTTCCGTGGGCGCCCACGCCAGAAACCTGGATCTCATCCTTGCCTATCCCTCTTCCTCACACCTGCCTCAGGTCGCTTTTACCTTGTAAGAGACCTTTCCAGTTGGTTTAGTTCTCAGCTCCAGGTTCAGCCTGTCCTGTCTGACACGTCTCAGTCTTCCTAACTTCATTCTAGCACTCCCTCAATCCATTTCTCACAGTGCAGCCAGACCTGTCTATGATGGTCAGTCCTATGGCCCTTAAGTCCTGGAATATCCCATTGACCTGGACAAAATTCAATCTATTTCACTTTCAAGGCACAACTACTAGTAAGTGGTTCCTAAATACTAGCAACTCTTCTTTCAAATACGATCTTTGCATAAATTCCCTCATCCTGGAGGTATTAGTCCTCTAGTTCCCTATTTACTTAGTTATTGCATACCCTCTGCTACCTCCTTCGTTCACCATACATCTTGTTTACCTGAGGATGGAAATCTCCCTGGAGAAAGATCCCTGGGGCTTGGAGTGATGTCTTACTCATTTCTGCTTCGGCAGTCTCTGTCAGATTATCATTGCTCTGTAAATGTTAAGTAAATGACTTTGTTTCCTTATTTATTTATTTAAGACAGGGTCTTATTCTCAGGATGGAGTGCAGTGGTACAATTTCGTCTCACTGCAGCCTCAGCCTCCTGGGCTCAAGCAATCCTCCCACTTCAGCCTCCTGAATAGCTGGGACGACAAGTGTGCGCCACCACATTTAGCTAATTTTTTTTTCTGTTTGTAGAGATGAGATCTCCCTATCTTGCCAGGGCTAGAAAAATTCCTGGGCTAAAGCAGTCCCACTCCATCTTCCCAAAGTGCTGGAATTACAGCTGTGAACCACCACCGCACCTGGCCTATTTCCTCATTTAAATGGCACTTTATGCCATAAAGAGTTTTAAATGAGCTGCAAAGCAAGATATTATCAATCTAAAGTGAGAGATAGTTGACTATTTAGAAGAAAATAAAGTTAGATTTCCGTCTCAGGGACTTTATTCAAAAAGATATTACACAGGAGGCTGGGCACCGTGGGAGGCCAAGGTGGGTGGATTGCCTGAGCTCAGAAGTTTGAGACCACCGTGGCCAACATGGCAAAACCCTGTCTCTACTACAAATACAAAAAATTAGCCAGGCGCAGTGGTACATACCTATAATCCCAGCTACTTGGAAGGCTGAGGCACAAGAATTGCTTGAATACAGAAGACAGAGGTTACAGTGATCTGAGATTGTGCCACTGTACTCCAGCCACGGTGACAGAGTGAGACTCTGCCTCAAAAAAAAAAAAAAAATATATATATATATATACACACACACACACACACACACACACACATACTATATATATATATGCACACACACATTGTAATATGCTATATATATACACTTTGTGCTATATATACTTTGTGATATATACATATCTCCATATACGTATATGGAGATATGTACATGTATACATATATGTATATGGAGATATGTATATATCACAAAGTATATATAGCACAAAGTGTATATAGTAGAAAGTATATATATATATATATAGCACAGAGATTAAAGATGTTATTTGGCGTTATATCTCAAGCCAGAAAATGTGTTTACTCAGTAGTTACCATGTCATGGCAGCGTTGTTTGGATAGTGAAAATTGAAAATCATCTGTATGTCCATTACTAGAGGACTGGTTATATTAACTATGGCATATTCCTATAATGATATTTTAAAAATCCACGATCTTTGGTGAAAAAAGCACAGTATAGACCAATTACAACATGTTAAAAAAGGTAGCACAGTGATTAAGAGTATGTCTGCTTTTGCATCTGCTCCAAAAAAAAAAGAATAATAATAAAAACGAGATTGTGTCTTCTGGAGCCAGAATGCTTGCATTTGAATCCCAGCTCCACACATATTGTCTTTGTGATTAACCCTCTTTGCCACAGCTTTCTAATTTATAAAATGGAGATCACGGAACGTATTTACTAGAGCTTTTTGTTTGTTTGTTTTTGTTTTTTAAGATGGAGTCTCCCTCTGTTGCGCAGGCTGGAGTGCAGTGGAGAGATCTGGGGTCACTGCAACCTTTGCCTCCTGGGTTCAAGCAATTCTCCTGCCTTAGCCTCCAGAGTAGCTGGGATTACAAGGCATGAGCCACCAAACTTGGCTAATTTTTTTTAGTATTTTTAGTAGAGATGGGGTTTCTCCATGTTAGTCAGGCTGATCTTGAACTCCCAACCTCAGGTAATCCGCCTGCCTCAGCCTCCCAAAGTGCTGGGATTACAGGTGTGAGCCACTGCGCCTGGCCTTTAGTAAGAGTTTTTAGGAAGATTAAATTAGTTAATTTTATAAAATACTTAGATTATAGTGGAACAGATTAAATTCTGTATATGTGTTCAGAAAACATATTCATTCATTTGTTCCACAATTATTCATTGAATGCTCTTGCACTAGACACTGATTTAGGGTCATGGAATAAATACATCGGACAAGTCCAATGCCTCATGGAGCTAACCTTTTTTTTTTTGCAACAAAGTCTTGCACTGTTACCCAGGCTAGAGTGTGATGGCTCGATCTCAGCTCACTGCAACCTCCACCTCCCGAGTTCAAGCAAATTTCCTGCCTCAGCCTCCTGAATAGCTAGGATTACAGGTGCCCGCCACCATGCCTGGCTAATTTTTTTTAATTAAAAAAAATTTTTTTTATTTTTTTGAGACAGAGTCTCACTCTGTCATCCAGGCAGGGGTTCAGTGGTGTGATCTCGGCTCACTGCAACCTCCGCCTCCCGGATTCAAGCAACTCTCATGCTTCAGCCTCTTAAGAAGCTGGAATAACAAGTGCACGCCACTACACTTGGCTAATGTTTGTATTTTTAGTAGAGGCATGGTTTCACCCTGTTAGGCAGGCTGGTCTTGAACCGTTTGACCTCAAGCCATCCATCCGACTTGGCCTCCCAAAGTGCTGGGATTACAGATGTGAGCCACCATGCCTGGCCACCTGGCTAATTTTTTGTATTTTTTAGTAGAGCTAGGGTTTCACTATGTTGGCCAGACAGGTCTGGAACTCCTGACCTCGTGATCTGCCCTCCTCATCTTCCCAAAGTGCTGGGATTACAGGCATGAGCCACCATGCCCAGCCCATGGAGCTAACTTTCTAAGAGAAACATTCTAAGAGAAACATTCAGTAAACAAGTAAAGAAATGTATGATCTAATTCAGGGAGTAGTTTGTGCTGTGAAGAAAAGCAAAACAGGTTAAAAAGATAGCTATGCGGTGGAAGTGGGACTATTTCATACAGGACAGTGACTGTAGACCTCTGATGAGATAACATTTCACAAGAGATCTGCAGGGAGCCATGTGTCATGGGGAAAGGCATTGGAGAGTTTTGTGGAGGAGAGTGATGTGTGATCACATTTACTTTAAAAGAATAATAATTTGGGCTGGGCATGGTGGCTCCTGCCTGTAATCCCTGGACTTTGGGAGGGCAAAGTGGGCAAATCACATGAGTCCAAGAGTTTGAGACCAGCTTGGTCCACCTGGTGAAATTTAATCTCTACAAAAAACACAAAAATTAGCTGGTGTGGTGGTGTGCACCTGCAGTCCCAGCTACTTGGGAGGCTGAGGTAGGAGAATTGCTTGAATCTGGGAGGTGGAGGTTGCAGTGAGCTAAGATTGCACCTCTGCACTCCAGCCTGGTGGACAGAGTAAGATCCTGTGAAAAAAGAAAAGAAAAGAAATAATTTGGCTTTTTTTTTTTGTTTTTGAGACAGAGTCTTGCTCTGTTGCCTGGCTGGAGTGCAGTGGCACAATCTTCCCCCACTGCAACCTCTGTTGCCTGGCTTCAAGCGATACTCCTGCCTCAGCCTCCTGAGTAGCTGGGACTACAGGTCCGCGCTACCACTCCCGGCTAATTTTTTTGTATTTAATAGAGACGAGGTTTCATTATGTTGGCCAGGATGGTCTCAATCTCCTAACCTTGTGATCCTCCTGTCTCAGCCTCCCAAAGTGCTGGGATTATAGGCATGAGCTACCTCGACCTGCCAGAATCTGCCTGTTATGTGGAGGACTGGGATAGAGAAGGGCAAGAGCAAGGTAGAAAAATGGTTTAGAGAGAACAGTTAGGGAGGTTGTGCAATTATCCAGCAAGAGATCTTGGACCAGGATGGCAGCAGTGGAGGTGGTAAAATGTGGTTGGATGAAGCATATGGTTTGAAGGTGGGAGTCAATAGGACCAGGTGATGGCTATAAACTGGGGGGTCACTATCAGATGGCATTTACTTAAAGCCATGAAGCTAGGTGAGCTCCTTTATGGAGAGGGAATAGGAAGGAGGTAGACTATTCTATCAAAATACTCTTTCCACAGGGCACTTCTCACTAAGATATTATTCATCCGGGATTTATGTTATTTAGTAAATTGTTTTGTGTTTGATTCCATTAGAAAAGCTCCATAGGGGCCGGGCAAGCTAAGCTGGCTCATGCCTATAATCCCAACACTTTAGGAGGCCCTGGCGATGGTATTACCTGAGGTCAGGAGTTTGAGACCAGCCTGGCCAACATGGTGAAACCCGTCTCTACTAAAAATACAAAAAATTAGCTAGGCATAATGGCATGCACCTATAATCCCAGCTACTCAGGAGACTGAGGCAGGAGAATCGCTTGAACCCAGGAGGCGGAAGTTGCGATGAGCCGAGATTGTGCCATTGTGAGGAGGGAGACCCAGGCATTTGGGATTCCCTCCCCTCTGTCATCCACTATGCATCTCAATAAAAGAGAGAGCAGGCCAGCTGGCGCCTCCTGAATCTCCTTCCTGAAAACAACAGGCTAGGCTTTGGGGAAACTCTCCAGAAGGCACTATTCTTTTAAGATCAAACCAGAAACCTTTTCACATGTGATTGCTAAAACTATGAACGAAAGATTCTTCCACGTGTAACATCTAAAGTATAAGCCTATATAAAGGCTGAACCTCTTTGTTAGACGAGCTTCACTGTTAGGCACCTACGCCGCCTTGCTCCTAGCTGAAATAAATTCCGTCCTCCTATATTCAGTGTCGGAGAGATCCTTTCCCGTGGCCGCTCCTGCTACAATTGCACTCCAGACTTAGTAAGAAGAGCGAAACTCTGTCCCTACTCCCCAAAAGAGAAGAAAAGCTTACTAAGGGAGGGAACCTTGTATCTTCACCACATAAACGGTTTGGATTCGCAGTTGAATTGGGGAAAAAAATCAGTCTGAAAGGGCCTCACTAAACCTCTAGCAGCTAGATATAACATCCCTGAACCTCTAGCCACATAAGGCTTAAGTAACAACTGGAAAACTCTTTTACTATTTTTATACCTCTTACATCTGCAACAAAGTATGATAAAAAATTAACTGGGCATGGTGGCACACACAGAAGCCAATAAACAGGAAGTGCAGTTTAAAATCATGTGGCTCACAGATCAAATCTTCAACACTTGCAGTTCAGCATCGGTAAAACACAATGCCTCAAAAAGTCCCATAGTGACTCAAATCTATTTGTCCCCATGGAAATCTTTAGTGAAAGGCAAAAGATCTACATTATTTGAAAAGAAAACAAAGTATGTGCCTGATTTCCGCTTCAAACCTGGCAGAGAGAGCTAACACTTAAGACACTTATGGTTTTTGGGTGCTTGCGCGGCACGCACTCCCTGCATGTAGTTCGTGTAAGAGTCATCATGTCCTAAAATAGTGCAGAAACCCCCGCGCAGAGGGAGCCTAAGCATCTGAGGGTGTCTTTTCGTGGTGCACCATGGGTATGCAAATCACAGGCGGCTCTAGGCTGGTTGGGTTGGCTCGGGCAGGGCCCCAGGGGCTGGACCACTGGGACCTGTGGGTTGCTGCTCTCCTTTGCTCTCCTTTGCAGGTCCTCCTGGGACACACACCCCGTGTGTGGTGCCGGGTGCCGAGTGCTTTGTGGGGGCAGGTGGTTTGTCCCCGGGGTTAGGGTCCTGTCCCGCCGTTCCTTACCTGCAGTGAGCCTCCGCCTTAGGGAGAGGGACGGGGAAACGGCTGGACACAGACACTCAAGAGCAGTGGGACCTCACAGAAGGCATGACACCACCACTCCTGGAGATGGCATCGGATCCAATTCACTTGGAAGGGTGATAAGAGGTCACGTCAAGGGGAAGTGGGAAAGTGTTCTAGGCAAAGGGAATGGCAGATGGACCTGAGGACCAATTCAGCCTGTCCAGACGGTGGCGCCCCATGTGTCTGATGAGGGGGCGCTGGGGTGAGAGGCAGGGACTAGATCTCTCTGGGCCTGGGAAGATGAAGATGAGGAGGCTTACTGAGGCTGGCTAACTTGCCCCGGGGTTACTCTGCTGATAAGCGGCACAGCTGGCTAACCCCTTTGCACTATTCTGGTCTGGTGAGTTTTCTCTGCTCCACTTAGAAGCCCCTCCTTGGTGACCCAAACACTGTTGGACCCAAATCCAGCCTCTCTCCCTATAGTAAGCACTCAATCCAGATGATGTTACCAAGTATATGACAAAAATCCAGAATCTGGGGTCTTTCCCACCCAGAACTAGAGAAGCTAATACCTCCGGATCTGGCACCACAGAAGCCTGCTGGTTGCACCGTGTACTCTAGGTTCTATACCAACTGCCCACTTCTCTTGAGTCTTTTTAGGCATTTTAGTGTGGATTCAATTGCACTAGTCGTTTCTTTTTTGTGTCTTTCGGTAAGAACATGATTTCCTGGCCTTTGTCCAGGTGGGGTGGGATGTGAGAAGGCCGTGTTTGTGGGGTGGCATCATTCCCAGTGAGTGGGGGGTTGGAGCCCAGGGTCTATGTGTCTCAGCTGTTGGCTGGGAAAGGGCAGTTGCAAACCTCCCCACACTGCTGGGTGAGGCTCCGTGCTATTCCAGGGCTGTGGCCAGTCTTCAACGCCTCTGCTCAGTGGGGCTGTTCAACCTCCACAGAACAAATAGCTTCAATTGTGTCCTCACTAGCTGCTGGCACCTCAGTTTCTGGGCAGTTCCTGCAGCTGATCCACTGGCTGGCTGGCCAAAGATGACTCTCAGCTGTCAGGCCGACTACCAACTTGCAGAGGCCTCTGCCTTGGAGGTTGCTCTTGGACCTGGCTCCTCTCCCTCAGTCTGCACACCTCCGGAGAAGCTCCCTAGACCCTGCTTACCTATCTTGGCATTAACTGGCCACTTTCCTATCCGCCTGCACTGCAGCTGTCACCTGCTGCATGGCTCTGCTCCTCTACCATGGTGTTTCCCATGTAGGTGAAGCAGGAGGTGAGTCTGGAGAGGCAGGTGATTGGGAATATGATGGCTCTGAAAGCCACATAGTGGGGTTCCTTTTTTTTCTGCTCCCAGTATCCAGAATGAACACAGTAGGATTTCACACCAACGAAATTCCTTATCATTTTGTATAGTAAGCACTTAATCCAGATGATATTAACAAGTATATGATAAAAATCCAGAATCTGCGGTCTTTCCCCTAGAGAAGCTAATACCTCAGGCCCTGGTACCACAGAAGCCCCTTCCAATAGCTAATGTTCACTTGCAAACTCCCCACTCTGTCCAAAAAAAAGCAACAAAGTCATTTGAGATGAGTTCACATAGAATATATTTCATTCTTTAAAAAATAAAACTTTCAGCATAGCTAACATCTATGTACTACAAAAATAGACATCTTCATATAAATAATGGATGTGGTAGGAGGTGAGCAGGCATACAGAGAGCCTGCCCAGGAGTCGCCAGGCGGTGAGGCTGGGGCTGAGGAAGGGTGCTGGAGGGTCCCTCGGGCTTGGTCTGCTGGGTGGGCAGTGGTATGGGGTGGGAAGGGGGACAGGGCTGCACTGCAGCCTGAAGGGCTGGCTTTCACTCTCACGTGACAGACACAGGCCCACACAGGCCTGGGTGTGCAAGGCAGTGACTGTTCTGTATGGATATCAGGGAGGTCCGTGACGGCTGAGTCAGGAGAGGGGGACCGCAGCAGCAGGACCCTCCAGGGGTCCATCCTGCATCTAATACCTGACCCACTGCTTCCCAGTGACCTTACTCAGCCCACACAGGGTCTCTGTGCTTCAGCTGTTCTTTCACCCAGTGGTTGGACCTGGTCCCCTGGAACTGAGGTCGCCAGAGCTGGTGGCAGCAGGGGACCAAGGGGGCTCATCAGAGGCTGGGTGGATGTAGGCACCAGGCAGCGGGGGTGGGTGGATGGCCACGGTCATGGAGGTAGTCACTCTGGCAAAGCTCTGGGGCAGGGAGGGGGACGCCCCCCACCTCAGCCCCGCTCCCTGTGGAGCTGGTGGAGTCAGGACCTCAGGGCTTTCCTTGTACATCTGTATCGCCTGTGGGGAGACACCAGCCCCAGTGAGCCCAGGGGCCCCTGGGGCTCCCATCCCCTTCAGCGTCTCCCTGGGGATCACCATGACTGTTGGGAAGCTGGGGTCCTTCTTGGTCTCCAGCAGGATATTGACAAGATGTTGAGGCCTGGGGCAAACCCTGCACCTTGCTCTGGATCATAAAAAGTTAAGGTGGGTCCCATGAAGAAGCCAGGAGGGCTAAGGGGCAGGAACATGGTGTCTGGGGAGAGCAGGAGGCTCCCACCTTCAGCTGGTGACACCTGTTGGGGAGGGACCTTGTGAGCTGAGCCTGTCTGTACCACAGGGGGTATTCTGTCCTGGCTCTGTCCCTTCCCTTGCCTGTCCCTACCCTGTCCTCTGGGCTGGGAACAGAGGGATAGTGCTGAGGGTGTGGTCACCTCTGGTGGCGGGCCCAGGATAGACAGCAGCACAGGCAGCAGCACAAGTCCGTGGAGGAGGCCGAGGAGTGTAAGCACTGTCAGCACCACAAAGAAGTACCTGGTTGGGGGCAGGGGAAGGTGGGTCAGCCTGGGCTGGCCCTGAGCCCTGCCTCCCTGCCCCAAGCCCTCCCCTACCTTACAATGAAGTCAAAGTTGGAACCAGCAAGCATGAGCAGACCCAGCAATGTAGAGATGGCCCCATCGGTCACTGGGGCAAATGTGTGCTCCAGAGCACGGGCAGCCCGCAGGTTTCGGCTACCCTGGGTGGTGAGGAAGCCCTGGAAAAAGAGCGGTCCTGGAGCTGCTCCTCTGCCAGTCATGGCCAGCTCATCCATGCCCCCACCTGTATCTGTCTTCAGAGCTCAACCATACCTTGGTCCACCAAAGGCCAGGTGAACTAAGTTCACGGGACTGTACAGGGAGCATGCGTGAGTCCTTTTAGGGAATACCATATGGATGGGTCTGGTGAGCTTAGACACACAGACATATAGAAAATAGAGTACAGCCTGGGTGACAGAGTGAGACCCTGTCTCTAGAAATAAGGTTGGGCATGGTGGCTCACGCCTGTACTACAGCATCACTTATTTTGCAAATGAAGTATTGTTGAAACAGCCATACCCACTGGTTAATGTCTTAACAATTTTGTGCTTCGATGGCAGAGTTGCAGCGGAGACTCTTTGGCCTAGCGAGCCTGAAATAGTCACTATTTGGTCCTATAAACAGAAGTTTGGCAATCATTGGTCCATCTACAAGACAGATGCCAAAGTGATAACAGTTACTTCTCCGAGTAGCGTTTCAGAGTAGCCTAATTCAGAGTAGAATTCGGAAGATTACTAATTCTTCCTTTATACCTTTCTGCATGCTGGATTTGTTTGTTTTCAAGGACCATATATTGCTCTTAGAATAATAATTGAGATCTTTTTGGGGGAAAGGAAGGGAGCTGTTTGTGGAGTCCAGCTGGGCTGTGGGTCCCCCCTTTCTTCTGCCAGAGAATACGCAGCCCTGGGCGAGGCCCTCCTCGGTTCTGGTATCTCTGCATCTCTTGTATCTTTGTAGAACCCCTCCATTAAGCCCACATTGCCATCCTGCTACCATCCCATTTCTTATTTTTTGAGACAGGAACTTACTGTGTTGCCTAGGCTGGAGGGCAGTGGTGTAATCATGGCTCACTGCAGGCTCAAACTCTGGGGTTCAAGTGATCCTCCTGCCTCAGCCTCCCAAGTGGTTGGGACTACAGGCATGCACCACCATGCCCGGCTAATTGGTTTACTTATTTTTTTTTGAGACAGAGTCTTGCTCTGTTGCCCAGGCTGGAGTGCAGTGGCATAATCTTGGCTCACTGCAGCCTCTGCCTCCCAGGTTCAAGCAATTCTCCTGCCTTAGCCTGCCGAGTAGCTGGGATTACAGGCACCCGCCACACTAATTTTGTCTTGGGAGGCTGAGGCAGGAGGATCACTTGAACCCCAGAGTTTGAAACCCTGTTTCAAATAAAAATGCAAAAAATAGCCAGGCATGTATTTTGTATTTTAAAAATAAAAAGATAAAAATTAGTGTGGCGGGTGCCTGTAATCCCAGCTACTCGGCAGGCTAAGGCAGGAGAATTGCTTGAACCTGGGAGGCAGAGGCTGCAGTGAGCCAAGATTATGCCACTGCGCTCCAGCCTGGGCAACAGAGCAAGACTCTGTCTCAAAAAAAAAATAAGTAAACCAATTAGCCGGGCATGGTGGTGCATGCCTGTAGTCATGAAATTATTTGAAACAGGGTTTCACCACATTGGCCAGGCTGGTCTTGAACTCCTGACCTCAAGTGATCTGCTCACCTTGGCTTTCTAAAGTGCTGGGATTAGAGACATGAGCCACTGTGCCCAGCCTACAATCTTTTTGTAGAGATGAAGTTTCGCCTTGTTGCCCAGGCTAGTCTTGAACTCCTGGCTCAAACAATCGACCAGCTTAGCCTCCCAAACTGCTGGGATTGCAGGTGTGAGTCACCCTTCCTCATCCATCCCACAATGGTCCACAGTAAAACTATTCAAAAGAATCATTGGTTCCCATTTTTTCTCTTTTTTTTCTTTCTTTTTGAGATGGAGTTTCACTCTTGTTGCCCGGGCTGGAGTGTGCAATGGCAGGATCTGGGTTCACTGCAACCTCTGCCTCCTGGGTTCAAGCGATTCTCCTGCCTTAGCCTCCTGAGTAGCTGGGATTACAGGCATGCGTCACCATGACCAGCTAATTTTGTATTTTTCGTAGAGATGGGGTTTCTCCATGTTGGTCAGGCTGGTCTCGAACTCCCAACCTCAGGTGATCCACCCGCCATGGCCTCCCAAAGTGCTGGGATTACACTCGTGAGCCACCGTGCCCAGGCGTTATTGTCTATCTCTACCCCCAGAATATAAGCTCCTTGGAGGTAAAAAACTATATTGCTATTATATCCCATATTCTTTTTCATTTTTTTTTCCAAAAAAAAAATTCTTTTTTTGAGATGGAGTCTTGCTCTGTCCCCAGGCTGGAGTGCAGTGATGTGATGTGATTTTGGCTCACTGCAACCTCTGCCTCCTAGGTTCAAGCAATTTTCCTGCCCCAGTCTCATGAGTAGCTAGGATTACAGGTGTGCACATCTGGCTAATTTTTGTATTTTCAGTAGAGACAGGGTTTTGCCAGTTGGCCAGGCTGGTCTTGAACTCCTGACCATAGGTGATCCACCCGCCTTGGCCTCCCAAAATGCTGGGATTACAGGAGTGGGGTACTGTGCTTGGCCCAAATTCTTAAATAGTACCTAGCACATAGTAGGGGTTTGAACAATATTTGTTGAATACTGAATCAGCTGACTGGGCCCTCCCCAGGGTGCCTGTGCTCACCAGAGCCACATGTACTGTGAACTCAATGCCAATGCCTACAGAGGCCACGAGGATCACCACAGGGATGGCGCTCAGCTTGATGCCCAGGAAACCCATGATACCAAACAGCTCCACGGTCATCATCGCCAGGACCAGCACCTGGGGGAGGCAGGTCTCACGGAGGGCTCCTGGCAGGAGGGCTGATGGGCTGGCCAGGGTAGGGTGCGGGTGCTGCTGGGTCTCTCTGTCCCCACTCCTGCAAGGACTCACTATGAGGCCAGCCATCCAGGGGTTGAGGAGCAGAAGGGCACAGACGAGGAAAGTGCACACCAGCAGAATGCAGATGGCCAGCAGGAAGCAGCGCCGCAATCCCAGATACTGCTCCCAGAAGAGGAAGGGGGAGCCACTGGGATAGGCGTGCACCCCAGCCTGGCCCGCCTCTGCACATGCTGCCCGGGCCCCCTCGATGGCCTCCACAAAGTCTGCAGTCTTCTGGAGGCCCCGCAGCAGGAAGGGGAACTGGGCAAACTCCAAGGGCTGAGCTGGCGGGACTGCAGAGGGGAGGGGGAAGGGAAAAGAGGGAAAGGGACCAGGTGGTGAACATGGGGCAGAGCAGGCAGGGCCTCAGGTTCAGGGCTTGTGTGGGTGAGGCTGAGGATCTTGCTAAGCCCCCCCCAGGACTCACTGCGAAGGTTCTCCCCTGTGGTGTCGTATTTGTCATGCAGCCATTCAGGAGGTGGCGGGTAGAAGTTGGCCTGTGAGGCTGCCAGACCCAGGGGGTCACTGCTCACCCACACAGTCAGCCCCACATAGAAGAGCTCGGGTGGAATCAGTCCCTCTCCGTCCACCAGTTTCCTTGTGGTCAGCTGCAGAGCAGAGAGAGCTGAAGGCCTGGGCCCAGAAGCCTTCAGCCACTGTGCTCTCCAACCCCTCCAGCCCTTTCTCAACCTGGCTGAAATCCAGAGGCTCCTGGGAGTCTCCGGTCTGGATGAGCAGCTTGTAGGCCAGGGCCCCATCCTCAGAGCCATTGCGGTACGAGTGGCGAGTGATGCGCCCAGAAGCCCAGTCCTGGTCAAACGAAGCCTGGATTCCTGGGAGAAACCAGCATAGGGTTCTGTTAGCTGCTGGCTCCAGGGCGCTTCTGCCTGCAGCATGCCACCCTGCCAGTCTCCTCGCCTCTCACCCTGTAGCCAGTTGCGGTAATAGTGCAGCCAGGTGCGGGGTGCCTGGGTGGCCGGTGGGGGCAGCACGGCCTTGAGGGAACTGAAGCGCTGGTGCAGATCAAAGAGGGCACGTTGGGAGTGGGCGTAGTCGAAGCCACCCTGGGTCACCAGGGCCACCTCATACAGGGAGAAGTACCTGAGCTGGGCGCTCAGGAAGGCATGCTCCTTGGTGCCCCGAGGCACCACATCCGTCAGGGCCAGCCCGTCTTGCACCAGTGTGGCTCCGTAGAGGCTCAGGCCCAAAAGTGTGGCAAAAAGCACCAGCACGATGGCCTGTGGGAAATGGCAACTCTGCTGGAGACCCCAGGGCTGCCCCCCAGCCCCTCAGGCGGTGGACTAAGCCCTCTGCCCTTCTGGGCCCAGAGATGCTAAGTCTCTACCCTGCTCCACCCAGTCTTACCTTGGCCTGTGACTGGAGCAGCAAGGGGGCAAACTGATATCGGGCAAAGTGGGTAAGATTCCAGTGGGCACAGGGCAGGGACCTGCAGGCTGCCTTCTGCCTTGGCTTCTCCTCCTGGCCTAGAAGGTCCCGTGTGGACCCTCCAGGGCTGAAGAGCTCAGAGCCCAGTGGGTCAGAAGGTGGAGGCACCAGGTGGGCTTGGGGAGGCAGGATGGTGACCACATGTTGGCTGCTGGCTTCACAGTGGGTAAAGGCTTGAACTGTGGCCGTCAGGTGGGCAATGCCCACTGGTACTGTCCTGTCCCCCAGCTCCTGGGGGAGGATCTGAATCACCTGAGCAGAGCAGGGACTGGAAGAGGCAGAGAGTGGGTAAGAGGTCTATGCCCCGAAATGCTGGTGAGGGGACAGGCTGGCATGGGTCACGGGAGGAGGGCTGGGGTGCAGACAGTACCTGGAGAAGCAGCAGAGCACATCTAGGCGCTGGCAGTGGCGCCGCTGTAGGTCCAGGCTGAGGATGGCTGGGAAGACAAGCATCACGGCTACAAAGGTGCAGCCAACCACTATGGCCGCCTGGGGGATGGACAGGAGGGGCATGAAGGCTGGATGAAGCTCAGCCTCAGCTCCACATCCACCCTGGGCTGCCCCGTGTGAGGCCTCACCTGCAGGGAGAAGGCTCGCAGTGCAGGGATGGGAACGAGGGCAGCCATGAGGAAGGCGGCCATGTTGTTGATGGATGTGAGGACCACACTGGGGCCCGTGCGCTGCAGACACTCGCCCATGCAGTCCTGCCAGGACAGAGTGGGGACCTGCCCTCAGGTCACAAGGGAGGGGCTGTGTCAAGGCAGAGTCAAGGGGAGGCTCAGGAACTTGGGGTGTGGAGGCGGGGTAGTCATAACACAGCAGCTAGCACTTACTGGGTACCGTGCGCATGTCATGGGCTGTTCTAAGCACTCAGCTAGAGTTATCTTACGGATCCAAACAACAACCCTTGGGACACAGCACTATTATTCCCCCTGTTTACAGATGGGGACACTGAGGCACTGAGGTTCATTAGCAGCCCAAGGTCACTTGAACCAAGAGGCTCTTAACCAATAGGCTGAGCTACCTCAGATGGGCCCTGGAGGACAAGGCCCCACCTGGAGACGGGTGCCAGGCAGAGGCTCTGTGATGGCATGTGCCAGCAGGAATATGTGATCCACACCGATTCCCAGAGCCAGGAAGGGCAGCACCTGGAGGGGCAGAGAGCGGGCAGCTGGAGGACCCATGTAGCCTGGCGACTGGCGCTGAGTCGGCCCTGCAGTCCTGGAGTACCTGGGTAGTGGCAGCATTGAAGGTGACGCCGAGCAGGGCACAGAGCCCAAGGCCTGAGGCCACCGCCAGGGCCACCAGCAGCACCCCAGCGAGGCCCACGGCACCCTGGGACTGGGCACAGTCCCACCGCAACATGGTCACACAGGCATAGACCAGCTGTGGGGAGAAAGAGCAGTCTCAGACAGGGGATCCCAGGGTAGGCACTGGGTGGAGGCAGGGTGGGGGCAAGGTGCCCAGTGCAGGACCCACCATGAGCAGGTAGCCTCCCACCACACGGGCAGCACTGACTTCAGAGAATGCATGCAGGATGTCATCCAAGGTGGTGGAGGAGAAGGCGTGGATCTGCTGGGAAGCGTTCTCAGGCAGGGCCTCCTGGGCCAGCTGGAGAAACAGGGTGGATCTGAGAGAGCAGGAGGAGGGAATGGCCTCAGGGCACCCCCCTTGTCCTTGTCCATACTGACTGACCTGCACAAAGCGCCGCTGCCAGGCTTGTAGCACTGTGCCAGCCTGCTCCTCGCTCCAGCCTATGTCATGCGTCTGATAGTCACCCCGGAAATGCTCGTACAGCTGGCGGGGACTCATCAGCAAGAAGGTGCTCTGCAGGGCCTCTGCCCTGGTGGGGGGTGCGGGGGAACCAGGGGTCAGAGCTGGCCCAGACACCTGGCAAGGGGTGTGGGGGGTAACCAGGGGTCAGCCTGGCCTAGACACCTGGCAAGAATGTGCAGGGGCTTTTGCCAGAGCTGCCTGACATTACAATGTGGATTCTCATGCATGGAGTCCCCTCACCAACTCCAAGGGGAGGCCCTACCTCAGCAGCTGTCCTTGGGGGTTTCTGGCCGTGCCTCCCAGCAGCAATTCCTCCTGCCAGTGCATGAATTTGTGGGAGAAGCCATGGCAGCCCCCACTGAGCTCGTCAGCCACATTGGGAGCCTGGAGGGGAATAGGAGGGGTTAATGTTTAAGGCTCTGGCCGTTGAAAACTAGGAAGCCCCAAGGGGGAGCAGAGAGTAGGCTGCTGGGAGGAGCTGGCGTAACTTTGGTGGATTCTGAAGGACCACATTCGTAGGACTGTAAAGACACCTGGGAAACCAGGTATGATATTCATGCTTATCTACTGCGTTCTTAATTTCCCTATATGAGTATATTTTGATAAGAAGTCCAGCCTTGGCCTGGCACAGTGGCTCACACCTGTAATCCCAGCACTTTGGAAAGCTGAAGCAGGTGGATCACCTGAAGTCAGGTGTTTGGGACCAGTCTGGCCAACATGGTGAAACCCCATTTCTACTGAAAAAACAAAAATTAGCCAGGTGTGGTGGTGGGTGCCTGTAATCACAGCTACTTGGGAGGCTGAGGCAGGACTGCTTGAGCTGAGGTTGCAGTGAGCCAAGATCGAGCTACTGCACTCCAGCCTGGCGACAGAGCAAGACTCAAAAAGAAAGTCCAGCCTTATAAAAGGAAAAAGGGATTCATGTACCATTGTGGGCTCCGTAGGATAAGGAATGGGAATGGAACACTGGGGTCCTGGAACAGTGGGAGGAGGGTAATAATGGCCAGGAAGTGGGGGTCAGGGCACAGAGCTGTCCGCTCCCCCAGAATACAGGAAAGTTTGAGGAGGGGAAAGGGAAGGAAAACAGCCTTTCCCTGTGGACCTGGATGGAACCCACCTGCCTGCTGTGATGGTTGGGGGCACTAGGTGGGCAGTGGAGGTCGTCAGGGTGCAGACAGGGCCGCCCCATGTAGGCCTGGCCCACCTGTGCCTTGTCTAGCAGCTCCCGGAAGCCCTCAAGAGAGGCAAAGGGACCCAGCTCCTCCAGCAGCTGCTTTGGATCCAAGTTGGTCCACTGGATATCCGGGCGGCCACTGAGGGGAAAGCCCATGGTTGGTGAGGGTCAGGGATGAAAACCCAGGCTCCAAACTGCTACTGGGGCCCCATGCTGTGCCCCACTCTTATCTGCCAATTTCTCCCTCGATATGGAGGGTGTGCAAGGCTCAGCTTCTCAGAACTCTCGGGCTACATAGGCCCATGGGTACAAGAGGATATCAGGGCAGGGTTACCTAACACATAGAAAGGGCCCAGAAAGGTCCCACTGAGCCCCTTAGCAAGCTGTCTGTGCTTGGTTCTAATATATAACCAGCAGGCACATGCCTGTAGTGGGTTTTCTTTCTGGCCTGGGCAACAGCTTAGCAGACACCTAGGTAATTCCCCCCAGCAAAGCCTCTTTCTGGGGGTCTTTTTCTCCTTTGCTCAGAGCTAACAGATCTTTGTGTTTAGTTTTGTCTGAATAAGACAGTCTTCCTTCCTTCAGAGGGAAGGAGAAGGGGGATGTGGAGAGCGCCCTGCGGAAGCCCATGCTCTGTTCCTGGCCTGGGAGGTAACCAGGGTCTTGGTAAGGTTTTGATCATCCTCATTCCCCTGACCCCTCCTTTCTGCTGGGAGAGTCTCCAGCGGGAGATGAAGCAGGGCCTGGAGCAGCTCTGGCACTCACGGCAGGTAGGCGGAGCCCCCTTGGAGTTTGGCTCCCTCCCAGAAGCAGTCGAGGGGTGTGAGGATCACGCACGGAAACAGCTTCTCAATCATCTGCCAGGGACACCCAGGCCACATCAGTCCTGCCCCACAGCCTTTGTAGGATGCCCTCTGCAATCCCTGTCCTTAGTTTTAAGGGGGAGGATTGCAGGCTGTGGGGCTTGCTGCGTCTCTCTGAGTCCTCCCACACCACAAAAAAGGTTCCGCCTCTATTCCCTCTTAGGACACTTACCCGCTCAATCATTCCATTTTCAATAAGAGGAACTCCTGACTTATAGCATATTTTGTTCAAATCCCAGGACCTGCAATAGCCAGGGGCACAGGAGATCAGCAGAAGAGGGGGATTCCCACTCCAGAACCCCCATGGCATGCTTCACCCCCAGCTGTTCAGGGGCTCAGCCAGACTCACTTCCCATAGAGTGATACTTGGACTTTACTGGCAGTGAGGGCTGCCTGGAGGTGGAGGCCAAGTGCTTCAGGGGTGAGGATGTTCTCTCCCTCCTGGCGTGAGGTCTGTATCAGCATCTGAGAGGTGTATGCAGCCTCCTCCCCCAGCTTCTCCTTGGTGTAATGCAGCTCCTGGCTCACCCGGCTGCCCACTGCCAGAGCAAAGAGAGAAAGCTGGGGGTAAAGGGTCTGGGCAGGTCAGAACTAGGGAAGGGGGCTTCTAACTCTGAGGCCTCCCCAGACAAGTGGGAGAGGAGCCCCTGCCTTATCCCTGAGGGCCTCATCAGGGCCCAGGCTGACTCCCCAGGCTTCTGGTCCTGGAGCTCTGCTAGGGAAGTGGGAAAGCCTGGGTTGTGTGCTCTGTGGATTTCTTGTGTGGTCTAGGCTAAGCATGAACCATGTTGGCTGGGCTTTGGGCATAAACTTAAAAGATAATCAGCATGAGCTGGCCCTGGGCTGGGGGAGTTGTGGGGGAATCTTGGTAAGGGAACCTTCATTCAGTCCCTCTCTGCTCTGGTGGGGAGGACAAGGAGGGCCACTAGGGGCAATAGGGAGGCTGCTGCTGGGAGGGTTTCCTGAAAGAACAGGTCTAGGGCTGGGGCTGGTTCTTAGTTCAGGTTGCTCCTGGCAGTGATTTATATCACACACACCTTTCTGCAAGCTGTTCTGGGGAGAGGGTGGGTAGGGATGGGAGTGTCTGGTAATCATGGGCCCTGCGTTGGTATGGGCAAGGGGGAGGATTGGACAGTCATTTAGGGTTCTGCTCCCTCTCAGGCAGGAAGTGCATGGAATCAGCTCATGAACCCTGGCAAGGGTGAAATCATAGTGGGCCAAGGGGAGGGAGGAGTCCGGATCACTTTCAGCACCCCCACTGTCTAGAACACAGGGAGTCCAGGCGCCAGGCTGCCTTAGATTCCTGGATCTTAGCTCCCATCCAGTCCTGTGTTATGCTGGCCACAGGGTCCTACTCTGTAGCTGGGACCTGGGGGAGGTGGAGACATTGTGAGGGGATATCACCTATCTATGATGTGGGGAAGAGTGAGGGCCAAATTCACCTCTGGAGGCTTTGTGGATTTGGTCTGATCTAAGACCCTGTGCTGTGTCCACCTGTCTGGGGGTCTCCTCCTGTTAGTCTTTGCTGCCTGCTGGGACCCACAGTACTGCTTCTCTGAAACTCAAGCCCCTCTGAGATTGTCATGCTTCCCAATCTTTCTTTTTCCGAGATAGGGCCTTGCTTTGTTGCCTAGGCTGGAGTGCAGTGGCCTGATGACAGCTCACTGCAGCTTTGACTTCTGGGCTCAGGTGATCCCCCCACCTCAGCCTCCTGAGTAGCTGGGATCACAGGCACTTGCCACCACGCCTGGCTAATTTTTAATTTTTTTGCGGAGAAGAGGTCTCATTATGTTGCCCAAACTAATCTTAAACCAATGGGCTCAAGCGATCCTCCCACTCCAGCCTCCTAAAGTGCTGGGATTACAGGCATGAGTCGCTGCGCCTGGCCCTCTAATCTCTTTTTCAAACCCATGTTCTCACTCACAAAAGCCCCAAATCCTTGGTAACCCCAACACATAATTACCCATATGCTCACATCTCCCCCGCTCCCGGACAGTCACATTCTTGGCCTTCGCCTCATGAAAACAGCCTTCCTGTCTTGCTGCCCATACTGCCAGATTCCACCTATTCTTTTTCTTCCTCCCCTGACTTTTTTTTTTTTTTTTTTGAGACAGAGTTTCATTCTTATTGCCAAGTCTGGAGTGCAGTGGCACAATCTCAGCTCACTGAAACCTCCGCCTCCTGGGTTTAAGTGGTTCTCCTGCCTCAGCCTCCTGAGTAGCTGGAATTACAAGTGTGCACCACCACACCCAGCTAATTTTTGTATTATTAATAGAGACGAGATTTCACCATGTTGGCCAGGCTGGTCTCCAACTCCTGACCTCAGGCAATCCACTTGCCTCGGCCTCCCAAAGTGCTGGGATTACAGAAGTGAATCACCATGATGACTGGCCTTTGGTTTTTTTTTTTTTTTTTTTTGCGAGGGAGTCTTGCTCTGTCACTAGGCTGAAGGGCAGTGGTGTGATCTCGGCTCACCGTAACCTCTGCCTCCCAGGTTCAAGCAATTCTCCTGCCTCAGCCTCCGGAGTAGGTGGGATTACAGGGACCCATCACCATGCCTGGCTAATTTTTGTATTTTTAGTAGAGATGGGATTTTGCCATGTTGGCCAGGTCTCAAGCCCCTGGCCTCAAGTGATCTGCCCACCTCGGCCTCCCAAAGTGCTGGGATTACAGGTGTGAGCCATCAAGCCTGGCCTCTTCTTCTCTGACTCTTCCCTACTTCCCACTCCTTTGCCAGGTCTGTATTGCAGTGTTTATTTCACCAGGCTTAGGCCAAAGGCTGCCGCATGGAGGAGAAGGAGGAGAGGACAGAGAGAAGCTCCCCATAGTAAGTGGGTTTGCTGAGAGGAAGGAGGTGCGGGAGGAGGAAGAAACCCAGAGAGACCTGATAAGAAAGCAGGAGAAAGAAACATGGATAATTTAAAATGGAGGATCAAAAAGAATAAAGACTCCTCAGAGGAGAAATGGGGAAGAGAAAAAGATAAACCTCAGTTGACAAAGATAGATATGGACAGATGAACTGGGATGCATTGTGGTGCAGGAAGGAAGAGATGAGGATGTTTAGTCTGTGCTTTGGGCTAATTACTTACTCTCTGTGAGTCTCCAGTTCCTCATCTGTCAAATGGGAACAGTGACTACCTTGGTAGAGTTAGAATCAGTGCAGGTAAAGTACTTAGGAAATTGCATGGCACATAGTAGGTACAGATATGGAGTTATTATTCAGTAGTTGCTGGAAGAGAAATGATGTGACAGAAAAATGAGAAGGAACTGAAGGAAAGAAAGACTGCAGGTGAGTGGGGAGGAGATAAGACAGGAGGGAGAACATCAAGATTGATACATTAAAAAAAAACTTTTCTCTACCTCTTTTTTAAAAATTTTTTTGAGACAAGATCTCGCTCTGTCACCCAGGCTGGAGTGCAGTGGTGCGATCACAGCTCACTGCAGTCTTCACCTCCTGGCTCAAGGAGTCCTCCCAAGTAGCTGGAACTACAAGTGTGTGCCACCATGCCCAGCTAAGTTTTGTATTTTTTGTAGAGACAGGGTGTCCCCATGTTGTCCAGGCCGGTCTCAAACTCCTGGGCTCAAGTGATCCTCCCACCTCAGCCTCTGAAAGTGCTGGGATTATAGGCATAAGTCACTATGCTTGGCCAAACTTTTATGTCTTTACTGATGCAAAAATACAACTGGCTAACCAATGTGGAAAAAGAGTCCACCTTATAAGTAATCCTATACATGCAAATAAAAATAAGAAGTTACTATCTAACAATTTACCAAAAACTTTAAAATTGATAGCACTCATTGCTGGTTTACAGGAGTACACTTTAATCCGCTATGGGAGTGCACTGTGGTATACTCTTTTGGGAAAGCAACATTGCAATATGTATGCTTCATAATCTGTGGTCTAGAAGTTTCACATGTAAGGGCCTATATGCAACTGTAGGGACTTAAGCTTTCTCTGGGTGAAATGGGAGTCCTGGTAGATTTTGAACAGATATGATCTGACTTTTTAATCACCTAACAATGTATTTTGGTGAATACACTGTTGTGAGTTGTGAATAAGAGGTGCCCCCGAGAAGAAGTCAGGAAAGGTGTCCTGGACCAAGTGTGTGCAGGGAACTGTCAAAGGCTCAGTGTTTCCGTACTGCTAAGAGTGAGCCAGGGAGGAGCCAGTGACAGTGCGGGAGAAGCAATCAAGTCCAATTATGGAGGGCCTAGAGTGTGTGCTGTGGAGTTTATATTTGACTTCACAGAATCTGGTAGAAATTGGTGGAAGGGCTCTAAGAAGGGGACTAACTTGGCCAGATGGAGATTGGCCACAGGGCAGTGCTGTGGAGGCAGATTTGAGGATGAGGCTGTCAGCACCTTCCTCCTTTCTAAAAGACCCTGATTTTGGTGGCCGTCCTTGGAAAGGCCTAGTAATTAGAGACAGCTGGGCTCTTCCCCAGCATCAGAAGATTAGTTTAAGAAACTTGATTAGTTTAAGAAACCAATCAGTAATTCCATTGCCTTTGGCAAGTTTAGGATTTCTGCATAGGATGCTACATAGTTCTCGCCAAAGACATCAAATGAGAAGTTGGCTGGGAGGCTTCTAATAAATTTTTCCTCAGTTTCTTTTTTTTTTTTGAGATGGAGTTTTGCTCTTTCACCCATGCTAGAGTGTATTGGCGATCTTGGCTCACCACAACCTCCGCCTCCCAGGTTCAAGCAATTCTCCTGCCTCAGCCTCCCGAGTAGCTGGGATTACAGGCGTGTGCCACCACGCCCAGCTAACTTTTGTATTTTTAGTAGAGGTGGGGTTTCACCATGTTGGCCAGGATGGTCTCACTCTCTTGACCTCATGATCTGCCCACCTCGGCCTCCCAAAGTGCTGGGATTACAGGCGTGAGCCACTGCACCTGGCCTAAATTTTTCTTTACTTTCAAAAAGACATGTAAGACCAAGTACGGTGGCTCATGCAGGTAATCACAGCATTTCAAAGGCAAAGGCAGGAGGATCGCTTGAGACCAGTTCAAGACCAGCCTGGGGGCTGGCCGGGTGTGGTAGCTCAGGCCTGTAATCCTAGCTCTTTGGAAGGCTGAGGTGGGCAGACCAGGAGGTCAGGAGGCCAAGACTAGCGTGACCAATGTGGTGAAACCCAGTCTCTACTAAAAATACAAAAATTAGCCAGTTGTGGTGTGGGGAGGTTGGAGTGAGCTGAGATCATGCCAATGCACTCCAGCCTGGGTGACAGAGCAAGACTCTGTCTTGGGTAAAAAAAAAAAGACCAGCCTGGGTAACATAGTGGGACTGAATCTCTACAAAAAACAAAAAAATTAAAAAATTAGCTGTGCATGGTGTTGTGTGCCTGTAGTCCCAGATACTATGGAGAAAGAGGCAAGAGGGCTGTGTGAGCCTAGAAGTTTGAGGCTGCAGTGAGCTGTGATTGTGCCATTGCACTCCAGCCTGGGTGAAAGAGTGAGACCCTCTCTCTATAAAACAAAACAAAACAAAAACAAAAATACGTGCAAGACAAGAATGACTTCTTTTTCCTGCCACTGCAGCAGCCACCTTGGGATAAGCCTGAGGACAAAAGTCCAACATGTTGAAGACAGCAGAGGAGAAAGATAGAAAGAAACTGGGTCCTTGCTCATGTCTGTGGGCTGCTGAATTAACTGAATTAACCAGATTTCCTGTTACAGAGAATAACAAATCAATCTTCCTTCCTCCCTCCTTCCTTTCCTTTCTTTCTCTTTCATGTGGCTAAGAACATTCTATTATTTCATTTACTTATTTATTTATTTTATTATTGTTATTTTTTTGAAATGGAATTTCGCTCCTGTTGCCCAGGCTGGAGTGCAATGGCGTGATCTTGGCTCACCACAACCTCCACCTCCCGGGTTCAAGCGATTCTCCTGCCTCAGCCTCCCACATAGCTGGGATTACAGGCATGCACCACCACACCCAGCTAATTTTGTATTTTTAGTAGAGATGGAGTTTCTCCATGTTGGTCAGACTGGTCTGGAACTCCCAACCTCAAGTGATCCTCCTGCCTTGGCCTTCCAAAGTGCTGGGATTACAGGCTTGAGCCACCATGCCCGGCCTATTTATTTATTTTTTTGAGATGGAATCTTTCTCTGATACCCAGGCTGGAGTGCAATGGCACTTAAACCTGGGTTTAAGTGATTCTCCTGCCTCAGCCTCTCAGGTACCTGGGATTACAGGCACACGTCACCATGCCTGACCAAATTTTGTATTTTTACCTTCTCTCTACTAAGAGACGAGGTTTCACCATGTTGGCCAGGCTGGTCTCAAACTCTTGACCTCAGGTGATCAACCCACCTTGGCCTCCCAAAATGTTGGGGTTACAGGTATGAGCCACTATGCCTGCCTTATTTTTTAATTTTTTTTTTTTCGAGATGAAGTCTCCCTCTGTCGCCCAGGCTGGAGTGCAATGGCCCGATCTCAGCTCACTGTAACCTCTGCCTCCCAGAATCAAGTGATTCTCCTGCCTCAGCTTCCCAAGTAGCTGGGATTACAGGCACATGCCACCACATCTGGCTAATTTTTGTATTTTTAGTAGAGACGATTTCACCATGTTGGTCAGGCTGGTCTCGAACTCCTGACCTCATGATCTGCCTGCCTCGGCCTCCCAAAGTGCTGGGATTACAGGTGTGAGGCACTGTGCCCGGCCTTATTTTTTAATTTTTAAGAAACAGAGATGGGGTTTTGCCATGTTTCCCAGGCTGGTCTTGAATTCCTGGGCTCAGTCAAACCTCCCACCTGGGCCTCCCAAAGTGCTAGGATTACAAGTATGAGCCACCATGCCTGATCCGAAGGCATTCTAAATGATACAATCAGGAGTATATTGTCAGAGATGGAACAAGGCTTCAACTAGAGCAGTGACCACAAAGTAGAAAGGATGGGTCTGTTATGAGAGAGTTTAAGAAACAAGGATTTACTAGTTTAGTAACCAACTGGACAAGCAAGAACTGAGGCTGACTCCTAAGGTTTTAGCTTTAGGTATTTATTTAAGTGATGGTGGTTCTACCAACTCATATAACGCCATCCCTGTCTTCTACATAGAATTGCAGCTCTTATTGCCCTGGCTGGAATGCAATGGCACGATCTTGACTCACTGCAACCTCTGCCTCCTGGGTTCAAGCGATTCTCCTGCCTCAACCTCCAGAGTAGCTGGGACTATAGGCATGAACCACCACACTCGGCTAATTTTTATATTTTTAGGTAGAGATGGAGTTTCACCAAGTTAGACAGGCTGGACTCGAACTCCTGATCTCAGGTGATCCACCTACTTCGGCCTCCCAAAGTGCTGGGATTACAGGCGTGAACCACTGCACCCTACCTGCTTACTCTTTTTCTTTGAGACTGGGTCTCATGGTGAGACTCTATCTCTCTGAAAAAAAAAATCACTGCTTTTACCTCATCCCCAGCCAATATAGGACAGAACCATATTCTGAAATAAAGGAAAAAAACCTAGGAATTGGCTACCATCCTCTTATAACACCCTCCCCCAAACAACAGCAAAAAACTGCTGGGGTCTAACCTTTCCTACATGGGAGTGTAGGAGAGGACGAGGAAATGTGGAGGTTCAAGCAGTGTTTAGATGGGGCAGATGTGGGGATGGAGAGGGAGGAGGGGAAGGGAGACTGCCTCTGTTGTGGCAGGAAATCCAAGAGTCATTTGGGACCACCCAAGCAGCAATGGTGTGGGTGGGGGTATGTGTATATGCGTGTATGCACATGTGTGTCCTGGGGCTGGGGGCAGACAGGCAGGCAGAGCAAAACATCTGCTCTGGACCCCAGGGCTGGCTGAAAGTGTGTATGGATGTGAGAGTCTGCAGGGCTGGGGGTAGGTAGGGTGGGGACGTGTGGGAGCCCAGTAGGCAAGCAAGCTCTGAGAAACATCTGCTCTGGATCCTAGGACTTGCCAGTATTTGGAATAACTCAAGACTCCAACCTGGGCTCTGCCGTTGGGTATGGGCCAGGGCTGAGGGAGCCTGCAAAATACAAATTTCCCAGGGAAAAATAGACTGGAGTTTGACTTCTATTAAGGGCTGCCATATGAAACCAGGCCTCAGGAAAGGAAAGAGTTATACTGAAATTATTAATAAGAAATCATTCTGGCTGGGCGCGGTGGCTCACGCCTGTAATCTAGCACTTTGGGAGGCTGAAGTGGGCAGATTACTTGAGGTCAGGAGTTCAAGACCAGCTGGCCAACATGGTGAAACCCTGTCTCTACTAAAAATACAAAAATTAGGCTGGGCACAGTGGCTCACACCTGTAATCCCAGCACTTTGGGAGGCCTAGGTGGGCAGATCATGAGGTCAGGAATTCGAGACCAGCCTGGCTAACATGGTGAAACCCCATCTCTACTAAAAATACAAAAACTAGGCCGGGCGCGGTGGTTCACGCCTATAATTGCAGCACTTTGGGAGGCCGAGGCGGGTGGATCACGAGGTCAAGAGATAAGACCATCCTGGTCAACAAGGTGAAACCCCGTCTCTAATAAAAATACAAAAATTAGCTGGGCGTCGTGGTGCATGCCTGTAGTCCCAGCTACTTGGGAGGCTGAGGCAGGAGAATTGCTTGAACCCAGGAGGTGGAGGTTGCAGTGAGCCGAGATTGCGCCATTGCACTCCAGCCTGGGTAACAAGAGCGAAACTCTTCTCAAAAAAAAAAAACCCACAAAAATTAGCCGGTGTGGGGGCAGGTGCCTGTAATCCCGGTTATTTGGGAGGTTGAGGCAGAAGAATCACTTGAACCCAGGAATCGAAGATGGCAGTGATCCAAGATTACACCACTGCACTCCAGCCTGGGTGACAGAGCAAGACTCCACCTCAAAAAAAAAAAAGAAAGAAAATAACTCTTTTATGCTTCTGGATTTGATCCCACCTGACGCTGGCTGTTGCCTCAAATTGTGGATTCTGTCATGCTTTTCCATTAATTGGGCCCAGGTGTATGAACCCTCTCCCTAGAGGCTTGGCCAGATGATTTACTCAGTTTCCCCAGCCTTCTAGTTCTAACTTTTCTGATTCTCCTGGTCAGAAGTGATTTCTCCCTGCCTTCTTTTACACAACATAATCACTGGGTGCTCTGTATTGTATTTTAGTTATTCCAGCACATATTTAACTTTCCTTGCTACTGAAAGATGAGCCTTGTTTTAGCTGCCTTTGTAAACCCTGATGCATTTCTATGTTAGCACATAGAAAGTTACCAATAAATGCTAAATACACACATACAAAATAATAGACAAATATTCTATACACCCAATTCACGGGGTCTGCAGATAGCCATTTGTGGGTATGGAAGGGAACAGTGTTCCTTGATGCCCAGATGTATAGACTCTGACCAGCAGGTGCCCCTCCAGCCCCAGGGCCAGGCCTACTAGGGCTCAGTAGCCAGCTCCTCACCCCATTCTTGCTTTGGGCTCACCGTACCTGAGCAGCTATGGCCAGTGTCTACAACTCACCTTCTACCCAGAGCTGTTCCAGGTTTGTCTCAATAATAGCCACGCGAAGACCTAATGCCAGGGCCCCAAAGGCCAGCAGTCCCAGGAAGAGCACTTTGCCACAGTGTCTCTGGATCCCGAAGCCCAGAGAGAAGAGCAGGCCCTGGAAGTAAGCACGAAGCCAGAGTGGAGCCTTCAGGCTCCCAGCTAGGATCTGGGATAGAAAGAGAAGGGTCAGCCAGGCATCACTGCAACAATGCGTGAAATTCTTCTCTTCTCACCCTGTATATCGGCTGCCAAGCCCTAGCTTCTAGATTTCCAGATGTGGGACAGGGAGCACCAACACAGACACAGGTCCAAACTTGGAAGATATAACACCTGCCACCCCCAGCTCCCTCCCTCCATCCCTCCCTCCCTTCCTCCCTCTCTTCCTTCCTTCCTTCTTTCCTTCCTCCCTCCCTTCTTTTCTTTCTTTCTGTTTCTTTCTTTCTTCCTTTCTCTCATTCTCCCCTCCTTCCTTCTCTCTCTCTTTCTTTTCTTTATTTTTTTGAGATGGGGTCTCTCTGTCACCAAGGCTGCAGTGCAGTGGCACAATCTCGGTTGACTGCAACCTCTGCTGACTGCAACCTCTGCCTCCTGCCTCAGCCTCCCAAGTAGCTGGCACTACAGGTGTAGCTGGGACTGCAGGCGCGTGCCACCATGCCTGGCTAATTTTTATTTTTAGTAGAGACGGTGTTTCACCATGTTGGCCAGGCTGGTCTCAAACTCCTGACCTCAGGTGATTCATACACCTCAGCCTTCTTACAGGCATGAGCCACTGGGTCAAGCCGGCATAGGCCCATTTTCTGAGATAGGATACATATGTACACACACACACACACACACACACACACACACCTGTCATCGGGTGGACACAGAGGTGAACCCACAGACACTCATTCTCACTGGCCAGATGACGAGATGATGAGAAGACACAGGCACAGACACGCAGACACAGACACACCCGCACAACTTACTTGCTGTGTTAGTGCTCACTTGCCTTCAGACAACCAATGACACTCAGCACGTCAAGACATCACAAACCTTGAAGAGGCCCGAGTGATAGACCTGGCCCTGCTCTTCCTTCTTCCAGCTCCCCCTCTACTCACCTGAGGTGCTGCGGTTCGAGCTGGGGGTGTGTAATTCGGTGGCAGCTCTCTGAGGGGCGGCGACCGAGTCATGCTGGCGGGAATGGGGGGCGTGGGCGCCCCCAACCCGCATTATCTGGGAACTCCCATAGGCTAGCCCGGCCTCCCGGTACCGCTGGTCCCGCGTGGGGATTCAGTGGGGCCGCCAAGGCGCGGACAGGGGTGAGACTGTGGGGTGCGGGTGTTAACGGCGGCTGGGAAGCACGAGTGCAGGGAGCTGCGGGTCCGGGGCGCGGCGCCGGGGTTCACCCACTCAGTGGGCCGCGGCGGCTGGAAGAGGAATGGGTCCCGCGCGCAGGCGAAATTGCTGGCTGGAGACGCCCAGCAGGGCTGGAGGTGCCGACTGGAGTGAGAGGCGGCTGGAGCTCCAGAAAAAGGGAGCTGGCCGGGGCGACGCCCTCCCATTGGCTGAGGGGCCAGCAAATTACCCGAGCCGCGCAGCCGGATCCGCAGCTAGGTAACGGTGCCGCAGGGGGCGGGGCAAGAGACCACCCAGGCTGGGCCACCCCGCGCCTTCCTCCCGCCCGCGGGGCCCCGGGGAGGAGGAGGGAGGAGGATCCTGGAGAGGCGCAACGGCGGCCAAGTGTAAATTCGGATAGGCTGACGCTGAGAAAGGCCGTTTGCGGGCCCTGTTAGGACTACACATTTTTTTTTTTTTTTTTTTTTTTTTTTTTGAGGAATCTCGCTCTGTCAGGCTGGAGTGCAGTGGTGCGATCTCGGCCCACTGCAAACTCTGTCTCCTGGGTTCAAGTGATTCTCTGCTTCAGCCGCCTGAGTAGCTGGAATTACAGGCGCCTGCCACCACGCCCAGCTAATATTTTGCATTTTTAGTAGGGACAGGGATTTCACCATCTTGGCCAGGCTGGTCTTGAACTCCTGACCTCGTGATCCACCCGCCTTGGCCTCCCAAAGTGCTGGGATTACAGCCTTGAGCCACCGCGCCCGGCCTTTCATGTTTTTTAAGATGGGGTCTCACTCTGTCACCCAGGCTGGAGTGCAGTGGCTCCATCTCTCGGCTTGCATCCTCCGCCTTCCAGGCTCACGCCATCTTCCCACCTCAGCCTCCCGAGTAGCTGGGACCATAGGCATGCATCACCACGGCCAGTTTTTTTTTTTTTTTTTTTTTTTTTTTTGTATTTTTGGTAGAGACTGGGTTTCGCCATACTGCCCAGGCTGGTTTCGGACTCCCAAGCTCAGGCAGTCCGCCCTTCTCAGCCTTCCAAAGTGTTGGGATGACAGGCGTGAGCCACCGCGCCTGGCCTAGGGCCACACTTTTTTTTTTCCCCGGCTTAATTCACTTTATTTTTCTTGTATAAAAACCCTATGTTGCCAGGCGCGGTGGCTCAAGCCTGTAATCCCTGCACTTTGGGAGGCCGAGGCGGGCGGATCACGAGATCAGGAGTTCAACATCAGCCTGGTCAAGATGGTGAAACCCCATCTCTACTAAAAATATTAAAAAATTAGCTGGGCGTGGTGGCACACACCTGCAGTCTCAGCTACTTGGAGGCTGAGGCAGAAGAATCACATGAACCCAGGAGGTGGAGCTTGCAGTAAGCAGATATTGTGCCACTGCACTCCAGCCTGGGCAACAGAGTGAGACTCCATTTCAAAAACGAAACAAAACAAAAACCCTATGTTATAGCCAGAGCTGGAGCCTGGGTCCTCTGCACGAAGACTCTGGTGTGGGTCTTGAAGAGGTCATTAGTGAATTCCTGATAGGGAGACTTGGTGAATACAAGTCTCCTTCCAGAAGTCCAGGGGTCAGGTAGCTGTAGGTCTTCAAGATGGCATCAAAGCGGGTAGGGCCACACTTTCTTTCCAACCCAAAGCCCAAAATTTCTTCTGTTCACTCTTCCTGGCCTCCATTCTTGCCCTCTTCAGTCCACTCTCTCCACTGAGACCAGAGTCATCTCTCTAACATACAAATCTGATAGCCCCAAAGCACGAGGCCACTAGGAGCACAGGGTCCTGTGTGATCTAGCTAAAGCCTCATCTCCCATGGTTCCCTCACATCAGTGTTCCCTCCATAGCCATGTGTTCCTGCCTTTGTACATGGTGTGGCCATTTTGTCTTGGCAGACAATCTTCAAACACTGAACTTGAATCACTCCCACACCCCACTTTTTTTTTTTGAGGCAGGATCTCCCTCTGTCACCCAGGTTGGAGTGGAATGGTGCCATCACAGCTCACTGCAGCCTTGACCTCCCAGTCTCAAGAGATCCTCCCACCTCAGCCTCCCAAATGGCTGGGACTACAGGTGTGCACCACCACACCTGGCTCATTTTTGTAATTTTGTATAGATGGGGTTTTGCCATGCTGCCCAAGTTGTTCTCAAACTCCTGGGCTCAGGTGATCTGCCCACCTGGGGCTTCCAAAGTGCTGGAATTATAGGCATGAGCCACTTTACCCAGCCTACCTCCTTTTTGAAACCTTCCTTGATTCATGTCTCTTTCCTGGCAGACAATTGCTTCTTTATTTGTGCTCTGTATAACAAATCAATTTATATATGTATAATTGCATTTATGATACAATAAATTATGTACTTGAAAATCTGCCTTCTTCACCAGACAATAAATAGGTGCTCAATAATTGTTGAGTGAGTCACTAAGAGTTGCAGAACTCAGGGTGTAACGGATTGGAAACAGGAAAGAATAGAGGCAATAGTCTCTCTATTAAACTTTCAACTATCCTATCTGAGTGGGCTGTTTCTATTGGGTTCCTGACTGATAAACCCTGAGTGGCAGAGTAGGGTAAAATCAATATTCCAATATGTAAAGTTTGGGAAAGAGAAAAAGAATCCACAATAAGCTCATGATTCTAACACAACTACTATTATCTCTGCCCAATTTCTTGGTCAGTTCTTCCAGACTTAAAAAAACATCATTACATCATAAATATTTCATGTTACTACATAGTTTTTGTGATCAATCATTTGGAGAATATGCTCAGGACAGATTCCCAGAAGTGGGGTTGTTTGGGTCAAAGAGTATGAACATTTTTATGGCACTTGCACATAAAAACCACACACACACACAAAATTGGTTTACACACTGTTAAACCAATTTTTGAAAGCTTGTACACATTTTTTTTAAGACAGAGTTTCTGTCACCCAGACTGGAGTGGAGTGGCGCAATCTCAGCTCATGGCAACCTCTGCCTCCTGGGTTCAAGCAATCCTGCCTCAGCCTCCCAAGTAGCTGAGATTGCAGGCACCCACCACCACACCTGGCTAATTTTTTTTTTTTTTTTTAGTAGAGATGGGGTTTCACCATCTTGTCCAGGTTGGTCTTGAACTACTGACCTTGTGATCCACTGTGCCTGGCAAGCTTGTGCAAGTTAACATCATCTCTAGAACCTCAGTCCTGAGGAAAAGGAACATTTAGATTGAGGGGGTGACACCTAACGGGTTTGCCATTTCCATTGTCCATTCACCCAGAAATATGCCTATGGAGGAACTAATATATCTATGATGCTGTTGGCCAAATAGTAACTGCACATGAAAAGCAGCCTACCTGAATAGTACTTTCTTCTCCCTGTTACAGAGTGGGTCCTGCTGAGGATAAAGTGGCATGGTAGCTCACGCTTGTAATCCCAGCACTTTGGGAGGCTGAGTTGGGAGGATTGCTTGAAGCCAGGAGTTCAAACCCAGGCAAAATAGTGAGACTCCATCTTTACAAAAAATAAAAAGTTAGCTGGGTGTGATGGCACACGTCTGTAGTCCCAGCTACTTGGGAGGCTGGGGCAGGACTGACTGAATCCAGGAGGTAGAGGCTGCAGTGAGCTGTCATTGTGCCATTGCACTCCAGTCCGGGAGACAGAGTGAGACTCTGTCTCAAAAAACAATAATGATAATAAAAAAATTTAAGGTTAAAAAAAAGTGTACCCCTAGCAAGTCTTTGAAATAGAAACCGCCTCTAACTTAGTATGTACGGGCCCCTAGTTTGTTCTTGGGGCAATAGCTGAAGATAGGAAGTGGCCTGGAATCAGCACTGGTTGTCATCAGGAGTCTCCTGATACTATGTTTTAAGTGACTCTTGAGATCTCCTTCCTTTTTTTTTTTTTTTTTTTGAAATCAGACTCTGCAAGACATAAATAAGGTCCATGGAGAAATAGATTTGTAACCACTTGGGCCTTGGGGCTCTGCTTCCATCATAGGCCCACCACTGCTAACAACTGTGGCAAAGTCCAGCATTTGTATGGATGCTTCCAAGGCAAAGCTGTCTATTAAGGAAACCTCTTGCTTTATAGTTCAAAGTCTAGAGTGGGAGAAATGGGTGTACAGTTTTCAACCTAGGGCCTTGTGTGCTGCCTGGCTTGCTCCAAGCTTCAAAATGACCTCTCTTCTCCCAAACAAAATGGTTTCCTGAGTCCAGCTAAGCTCAGCCAGAGCCAAAGCCATAGATAGACCCCAGGAATAGGAGGGGATACAGAGGCTTCTCTTCTTCCTGCAAGCAGCCACCTTTAAGATAGAATGGCTTGTTTACACTTCCACTGGTCCTAGGTATGTGTTCTGGGCCTAAACTAGAGATATTCTCTGAATAACAGGAGAAAAGCAACCTAATTAAACCCATTATCACCAAGGATTAAATCTCATTACTGATTCATGAGACAAACATGTCTTGGGATCTCTTCTCAAAAAAAATTTTTTTTTTTTTTTTAATGAGATGGGGTCTCACTATGTCACCCAGCTGGAGTGCAGTGGCACGATCTTGGCACACTGCAACCTCCAGCTCCCAGGCTCAAGTAATCTTATCTCAGCCTCCCGAGTAGCTGGGACCACAGGCGCGTGCCACCAAGTCTGGCTAATTTTTTCGTATTTTAGTAGAGACGGGGTTTCATTGTGTTGCCCAGGCTGGTCTTGAACTCTGAGCTCAGGCAATCTGCCTGCCCTGGCCTTCCAAAGTGTGGGATTACAGGTATGAACCACTGTGCCTGGCCTTGGAATCTTTTTTTTTTTAAATTAATTAATTTTTTTCAAGACGATGGAGTCTTGCTCTGTCACCCAGTCTGGGGTACAGTGGTGCCATCTTGGCTCACTGCAACCTCTTTCCAGGGTTCGAGCAATTCTCCTGCCTCAGCCTCCTGAGTAGCTGGGATTATAGGCGCCCACCACCATGCCAGGCTAATTTTCCTATTTTTAGTAGAGACGGAGTTTCGCCATGTTGGCCAGGCTGGTCTCGAACTCCTGACTTCGTGATCTGCCTGCCATGGCCTCCCAAAGTGCTGGGATTACAGGCGTGAGCCACTGATCTTGCTGCTTAGGATCTCTTATCTGTCCACTCCTTTGCTGAGTTTTGATGTTGCAGGGTACCTGGTTTTTAGAAGTTCATTGCCTGAGGGGAACACAGAGACCACAGGGGAAACCACTGTGAGTTGGGGGTACTCAGAGATGTTTCCAGAAGTGAAAGGAACTGGATGGGAGAGGTGGGAGCATGACAGAATCTAAAAGGAAAAGGAATGAATGGCTCATGGCCTGGATCTTTCATTTGCTGGTTGTGAGATCTTGGGGAAGTCACATAATCTCCGAAATTAGCATAAGGGTTAAATGAGATAATATACAACTGAGGAACAGTGCCAGGAAAAGTGAGGTGGACCACACTCACATACACACAGTGCTGGGTTAAGTAACCAGTCTGGCTTCAGGGGTGGGTTCATGTGGGAGTTAATTCACGGTGGAGGCAAGGCAGGCTTTCTTTCTCTGGCATTCCTCTAGGTTTCCCTCACCAGCTTTGGTTGCTTCTGTTATCTAGGCCAAGCAGGGTCAATGACCCTGGGATGTGGAAGAGGGAAGTGGGGGACCTGGGCAGCCCCATCCCCACCTGTTACATTTAGGGGCCAACCCTGGGTATGTATGCTCCTTCCCTGTGGGCTGGTTCAGGCCAATAGCCCCTACCAAGTATTTGGTGCCAGAGGCTGCAACCAGAGACTAGGGAATGGTCCTTCACTTTAAGTGTGAGGGAAGGAGAGAGGCTAAGAACAAATACAGCCTCTCTCCATTTATCCATGGCAGAAAGGCCCAACACAATCATCCTGGGTAGTGGCAGATGGCTCAGGCCAAGGACAGGTCATATTGGCTTCCAACAGAATGTGTTCTCCTCCCAGTCTCTCTCCCTCTGGGTCAGCTTCATTAGAGCAGAGCTTTCTAGACCTTCTGTCTGGGTGGTCCTTTCCATGGGCCTCTCAATTTCTCAGACACATTTGACTATTTAGAAAGCTGCATACAAAGGCCTGGTTTATGTACCTCCTTAGGAGTAGCGAGAGCTGTAGATAAAGAAAGTGTAGCCCCTGCAATTCTCTGGAAATAGAAACAACTTCTCAACTAGGCCCTGCAGACCCTAGATTCCTGTTGGGACTACAGCTAAACACAATTTCTCTCTCTCCACTGGGTATCGAGTGGGGGGGTAACAGTAATGTAGTGAAGAACTGGGAGGAAGTTCGACCTTTGGCCTTGGGAAAGAGCTTGGAGGGTGATCTTGGCAGTCTTATAGGCTCATAGGAGCTCACGGCCCTTCACTTTAAGTATGGGAAAAGGAGAGAGGCTAAGAACCAATGCAGCATCTCACCCTTTATCCTTGGCAGAAGGCCCCTGATGCAATCATTCCGTGTAGTGGCAGACTTCTCGGCTCAAGAACTCTTGCCAGTAGGCAAGGATGAGTTGTTAACAGGGGATGGGATTCCTGGAGTAGCAGCCGTCAAGTTGTGTCTGACCTGGCAAGCTCCCAGAATCCTGTTTCTCAGCACATTCCCAGAGTCCTCCCTGATTTGGCATTCAAGGTCCCCATTCTCCTCTTCCTCCATTTTGTCATTGAGCATCACTGGAAGAGGCAGGGCAGATCCTATCAACTCTTCTGCCTGCCTGGCTTTTCTGATTTCTGCCCCATGAGAGGTGGCCGGCCAGTGGACATTCAGTTACTCACTATGTTTCAGACATACTCAACCCCTCTGTAGCTGCTACCAAAAGGAAACAAAAACTGTCCCTGCCTTCTGGCAGTCAAACAGAGCAAAGAGCAGAAAAATCAAAGCATCTTGGGCACCCAGCCAGTCCTGGAACTGTCAGACAATAGCAGCAGTGTACTGAGCTGGGGGCTGCTCCCAGCTGGGACTCAAACTCAACAAGCCTTCCTCTGGGAAAGCTTTACCTTTTGTTTTCTCCAGCTCCTTCCTTTCCTTAATGCAGAGGCCATTTGATGGACTTGTGCTAAGGGAAGGCACAGGAGAGGTTTTTGCTCTGTCTCACTGTCAGGGGTTCTAAGGGCTCAGTGGGGAAGGACAGGAAGGAGTGTACAGGAGGGCTCTGAGATAGTTTCCCTCCCATATCTTTTTTTGTGATCAAGGAGTGATCTTTCAGCTCCTTGGGAGACCCAGGCCCTAAGGGCCAGAAAGCTCTGGGAAAGAGGACAAAACCTGAGAACCATAAGGGCCTTTAACACTCAAGCAGTCCAACTTTCTCATTTTGCAGATGGAAACACTCCAGGTCAGAGGAAAGACAGTGATTTGTCCCAAACCAAACACTACAGAGGCCAGATTTTCATTCACCTAGGCCAGGACTCTGTCTCCAGCACCACCTGGGCCCCACCAGTTTAATTTCAGTTCCAAAGGGGACCACGTTGGGCATCACCACAGCTCTTTATCTGTTCATCCCCCTCAGCTCTATTCATTTCAACCACTTCTGCTGGGCCATTTCAGTTCCTGCCTGATTAGTGAAAACTTTCAGGAGCCTTGTTCTGACCAGTGGGAGGAATGTGGAGCTCCAGGGATCTCAAGAAGGCTGACAGAGGTGGAGATCCCCCAGGGTAGGAATGCTCACAAGTCTCTCACAAGCTCTATGACTAAGACAGGCAAGATTACTCAAGTAAACTTGAGAGCCTTGAGATTTTTGAAGCAATGCAGAAACCAGTATTTCAAATAATTCTTTATAATTACTGCCACCCACAGTGAAGACATCAAGAGAAACGTTTGATAACTCTAGGAGGTAAAATCTCACCCCAGGAGCCACTTTTATCTTCCACCAAACACCTGCAGGTTCTAAGAGAAAGACAGGGAAAGAGCAGAGTGAATGTGTGTTTGGGAGCAGGGGTGGTGGAGGGAAGGTGGATAGGCCTCTTGAAGGGCTGTGAAGCAAGAGAATTTCTGAAGCAGGAGAATCTGTAGAATTAGGATCTAAAGGAATACAGCTGGAGGAGAGTCAGAAGGAATTTCAAGCCATGATATAGATTTCTGGCTCTTCCATCCCAGGTTGGGCAAACCTCACTGAAGTGAGGTGGAGTGGGGTCTGGCGTGGCTCAGACCACTGCCTCAGACCATGGCTCTTCATGTTCTTATCTCCACTAAAATCTGTGGGGATAGGCTTGTTGGCTAGGAAGGGGCTGCCCCTGCTTCTGTTCAGAGTATCCAAGGGATATTGAACTGGGGAAAGTGGCTATAGGCTGGTAGGAGAGGGAATGAATGGTGAGCATAGAGGGTGTGGGGCTGTGGGTGAGGCAGTGGAAGGGACTGGGAATCTGTATGGCAGGTATGGGAGCAGAGTCCTCGGCTGATGCTTAGGGCTGGCACTACCAGCAGCTAGGCCTATGGGTCTAGAAAGGCAGATTAGGATAAAGGACTGAAGTACTCCCAGGTCCTTTTAGGTGGGGGATACTTTAAGGACTGGGCTGGGTCAGCCAGTCAGAAAGAAGCCTTCCTAGGACCTTTACATTGGACAGCTGCTGCCCCCACCTGATAAACCTTGGCACAGAAGAGTTAGGCCACTGTGTCTGCCCTGTCCCACATGCTTGCTCCAGATGAGCTTTACCACATGACTCATGAACACACACTGTGTACATCTGGAGCCCACCTGACGTGGAGCTTGGGACTGCTCCACAAGTCTCCAGAATGTCTTTGGAAGCTCTTCTTTATTGGGAAATAAATACAGAGGCAAACAGGTGGGTCAGCCAACATCTGTGGTTCTGGAGGCCAAAAGGAAGGAGTCTGTCTGACTTGCTCAGAACTCAGATCTCCATGAGCTGGTCATTTCCCACGATCACTTCGTTCACTCGTTCAGCTACAAAAGAAAAGGACAAAAGTTTTCTGAGAACTGGGAGCAAGATGACATTTCAAACCCAATTGCTCTCTTTTTTTGAGACAGAGTTTCATTCTTGTCACCCAGGCTGGAGTGCAATGGTGCGATCTTGGCTCACTGCAACCTCCGCCTACCGGATTCAAGCAATTCTCCTGCCTCAGCCTCCCGAGTAGCTGGGATTACAGGCATCCGCCACCACACCTGGCTAATTTTTGTATTTTTAGTAGAAATGGGGTTTCACCATGTTGGCCAGGCTGGTCTCGAACTCCTGACCTCAAGTGATCTGCCTCCCTTGGCCTCCCAAAGTGCTGGGATTACAGGTGTGAGCCACTGAGCCCAGCCAAGCCCAAGCCCAACTGCTTCTAATTCTGTGTTCACAAACATTTATTTCTCTCCTATTGAGAAATAGGAGAGAAATAGGTTCTGTTCTTGAGAAGCGCTTGGGAATAGGGGTATTTCCCTATTTCTCTTGAGAGAGAGAGAAAGAGAGAGAGAGAGAGAGAGAGAGAGAAAGAGAGAGAGAGAGAGAGAGAGAGAAAGAGAGAGAGCGAGCACCTTCCTATGCAGGGGGATGGGACTGACTTTCTATATCCCTGGCTTTGGTGAGGTTTTAAATAGTAGAACTGAAACTGGATCTTAAAGGATGAATAGCTTCTCTAGGCAGTGATGGAAGGGAAGACATTAGACATTGCAGGCTGTTAGAACAGCAAGAGCAAAGACAGTGAGATGGGAGAAAGGGGAACATGAAATACTGTGGTGTGGACAGAGGATAGCAAATGAGGGGATAAGGGTAAGAAATGAGGCTAAAAGGATAAATGGAGAGTCAAAGAAGAAAGGGCAATACCTCATACATAATATGGAAATAATAACACCTACTGCATAGGGTTGTTGTAAGAATTCAATGAGTTAAAGGTAAGTGAATGCTCAATAACTTGTGGCTATTATTGTTTCTATAAAGTCCAAACCCACAAGGCCCTCCATGACATGATCTTTGCCTATTTCTCCAGCTTCATTTTCCACTATTCTCCATTTTATCAATAAGCCATACTGTTTTATACCGCCCCCCGCCGTTTTTTTTTTTTTTTTTTTTTTTGAGACAGGGTCTTGCTTTGGCACCCAGGCTGGAGTGCAGTGGTTTGATCTTGGCTCACTGCAACCTCCACCTCCAGGGTTCAAGCAATTCTCCTGCCTTAGTCTTAGGTATATTTTTTCTTTTTGTATTTTTAGTAGAGATGGGGTTTCACCATGTTGGCCAGGCTGGTCTTGAACTCCTGGGCTCAAGTGATCCGCCCAGCTTTGGCCTCCCAAAGTGCTGGGATTATAGGTGTGAGCCACCACGCTCAGCCTTTTTATACCTTTGAACTTTGGCACATGCTGTTCCCTCTGCCTAGAATGCTTCCCCCTCCATTTTTTCCCATTGCACTCTTACTATCCTAACGTCCTAATCTAGCACCTCTAATATGCGATGACTTCCCTTTTGAACTGTCTATTTCCTGCTTTGTGAAACCATGGTACCTAATACCTATCTCTATTCCTAGATTATACCATTCTCCTCTACTTCACTATAAGAACATTGAGGGCACAGGACGTGGTGGCTCATGCTTGTAATCCCAGCACTTTGGGAGGCCGAGGGAGGTGGATCATCTGAGGTCAGGAGTTCAAGACCAGCCTGATTGGTGTGGTGGCTGACTGAGGCACAAGATTGCTTGAACCCAGGAGGCGGAGGCTGCAGTGACCTCAGGTCACTGCCACTGTACTCCAGCCTGGGTGACAAAGTGAGACTGTCTCAAAGAAAAAAAAAAACGGACAATTTTGCTAGATAGAGAGTTTTAAGATAGTGGTTTTTTTTTTTTTAAACATTTTAAATATTTCAGTTCCCTCTCTTTTTGCTTCTGTGGTTTAAGAGAAATCTGATGTAATTCTTATCCTTGGTTGTTCATAGATAACAATTTTTTCCTCTTCTGGCTTCTTCTAAGATTTTATTTTTATCTTTGATTTTCTAAAGTTTCAATATAATATGCCTATGTTTACATTTTTTGTATTTATCTTATTTGGTGTTCTCTTAGCTTCTTATATATGTGGATTTTGTTTATCTTCAATTTTGGGGAAATCTCAGTCATAATTTCTTTAAACATTTCTTCTGTTCTTTTTTTTCTCCTCCTTCTGATACTTCATTACACATGTATTGTTTCTATTATAATTGGCCTATACTTCTTAAATATTCTGTTCTTTTTCATTCCTTTTTTTCTTTGCTTTTAAGTTTCAGAAGTTGCTATTTAAACTTGTTTAAGCTCATTGATGCTTTCCTTGATCGTATCAGTCCATTGATGTGAATTCATTGTTATGGGCTAACCAGTGTTCCTCCAAAATTTGTATGTTGAAGTCCCAATCTCAGAATGTAACCATATTTGAAGATAAGATTTTTTAAAGGAGTGATAAAGTTAAAATGAGACTCCTAGGGTAGGGCCCTTGTACAATGTGATTGATGTCCTTATTAGTAGAAGAAGAGCCACAAGGAATGCATGTGCACAGAGAAAATGCTGTAAGAGGGCACAGCAAGAAGGCAACCAGCTGCAAGCCAAGATAGGCCTCAGGAGAAACCAAATGTGCTGACATCTTGATCTTAGACTTACAGCTTCCACAACTGTGAGAAAATAAATTTTTGTTATTTAAGGTACCCATTCTGTGGTACTTTGTTATGATACCCCTATAGTAATGCAAGAATGGCCTAATACATCTATATTGGACAAAATTGACTTTAAGTGAAAAAAAACATAAAAAGAGACAAAGAAGGCCACTATATAATCATAAAAGGGCCAATTCAGCAAGAGGGTATAACAGTTTGAAATATGTATATATATGTACCCAATAATGGAATACTCAGACATATTAAAAATGTCATTAGAGCTAAAGAGAAAGATAGACCTCAACACAGTAATAACTGAGGGCTTCAACACCGCACTTTCAGTATTGGACAGGTCACCTAGGTAGAAAGTTAACAAATAAACCTCAAACTTAATCTGTACCGTAGACCAAATAGACCTAACATTTACAGAACATTTCATTCAATAGCTGTGGAATACACATTCTTCTCAGCATCACATAGAATATTCTCCAGGATAGACCATATGTTTGAGCACAAAACAAGTTTCAACAAATTTTGAAATATCGACATTATATCAAGTATATTCTAGACAAAAATGGAATAGAGTTAGAAATGAATAAGAGGAAGAACTTTGGAAACTGTACAAATACATGGAAATTAAACAACATGCTTCTGAACGGCCATTGAGTCAATGAAAAAACTAAGAAGAAAATCACAAACTTTCTTGAAACAAATGCAAATGGAAACACAACATGCCAAAACCTATGGAATACAACAGAAACAGTGCTAAGAGAAAATTTTATAGCAAAAAATGCCTACAGCAAAAACACAGTCAGATTATAAACAACCTACTATGTACCTCAAAGAACGAGAAAAACAAGAAAAAGTGAAATCCAAACTTAGTAGAAGGAAAGAAATAATAAAAATCAGAGCAGAACGAAGTGATTTAGAGATTTAAAAATGCAAGGAATCCATGAAACAAAAAGTTGATTTTTAAAAGAGATAAACTTTATAAAAACCGCTAGCTAGACTAAGCAAGAAAGAGAGAATGCCAAATAAATAAAATCAGAAATAAAAAAGGAGATATTACAACTGATATAAAAGAAACAAGATAGATCATTAGAGACTGTTATGAACAACTGTATGCTGACACACTGGAAAAACTAGAAGAAACGGATAAATTCCTGGACACATATAACCTACCTAGATTAAACCGGGAAAAATAGAAAACCCCAACATCCCAATAATGAGTAACAAGACTGAATCAGCAATAAAAAGCCTCTTAGCCAAGAAAAGTGCAGGAACAGGTGGTTTTACTGCTTAATTTTACTAAACTTTTAAAGAACTAACATCTTGTTTTTCCTTTTAGTTGCATTTATTTTAATGCTGAATTACTTTGTGTCACGTTTTTGTTTCTTCAGTTTCTTCGTCTTCTGGGCAACCTCCTCTTCTGGTTTAGGAACAATCTGTTCCTCTTCAGTAAGGATCATCTTGATGTGGCAGGGAGAACTCATGCCTGGGTTAATCTGACCATGAGCTCTGTAGGTCCGGCGGTGTATCTTGGGTGCTTTGGTCCCTTGGATATGCTCAATGACCAGAGAATCCACATCTAAACCCTTAACTTCAGCACTACTCTCTGCATTTTTAAGCATGTGCAGCAAAAATTCAGCACTCTTTTTGGGCCACCGACCTTGTGTCCAGCCCCACTGCTTGGCTTGGACACACCTGCCAACTCTACCATTGTAACATCGGAATGGTACGCACTGTTTCGGTAAAGTGACATCTTTCAGATACTTCGTGGCTTTTCGTATATACATAGCCTTGATGGCCTGGGCAGTTTCACATGTGTTCTTAAAGTGAACCTGAAGATTGTAACCTCTTTATTTGCATGATTTTGTGGGGTTCTTTGGGTCAAGTGAATAGTGAACCATTTTCACAGATTACCTCAGGCCGCTTAGGGAAAGAGCAAGAACTAACACCCTTTTTTTCAACTATTTCAAAAAACTGAAGAGATAAAAATTCTTCTTAACTTACTTAATGAGAACAAAGATGCCCAAACTAGACAAAGGCACACAAAAAACAAAGGTACAGGCGGGGCACGGTGGCTCATACCTGTAATCCCAGCACTTTGGGAGGCAGAGGTGGGTGGATCATGAGGTCAAGAGTTTGAGACCAGCCTGGCCAACATGTGAAACCCTGTCTCTACTAAAAATACAATAATTAGCTGGGTGTGGTGGCATGTGCCTGTAGTCCCAGCTATTTGGGAGGCTGAGGCAGGAGAATTGATTGAAGCTGGGAGGTGGAGGTTGCAGTGATTCAAGATTGTGTCACTGCACTCCAGCCCAGCGCTTGGCAAAACAGCAAGACTCTGTCTAAA